ATGATATGTCGCAGTAATAGTTTTGTGTTGATAACGACGGAGTTATCGTCATTTATACAAAAACAAAAAATTATTTGGAAGCCGCCATCTTGAATTCATAAATTTTAACAAAAAAATCATGATCTCCGACCTCAAGAACCCCTACTTACCAATTTTGAATGGCATTGGACCAAATCTTGTCAGCCATCTTGGAGCAGCCATTTTTTTTTAATTTCAACAAAAATTCCATAACTCCGATTAACTTGAAATTTGGCAGGTGTTCATAATTTCGGTGACAATACATTATGTGAAATTCCTATTCGAATATTTTCATAAATAAAGAAGTTACGGAGGGGACATGAAATGATCAAAATCTGTTTTTTGCGTATAAAACAAAAACGAATAGATTTTATCAAAATATTTTTTCACATTATAGTTGGCCTTAACAAACTCCACATTTGGTGTCATTTAACCGACCTCGTACCTCTCACCGTTAAAAAGATACCCATGGTGAGCATGGTAAGTGGGACACACTGTATAGTTTTCTATATCAATTTCAACTGTGTATTCCTAATATTCCTCACCATTCTCCTCACCCAATCTTCTAGGATTTCGGCAAACACGAGAGATGGAGATGGGGTAGTCGCACAAAATTCATAGTTTTTCTGCTGGCAAAAAAACATGAATTGTTCCAGACAGAGTTTTTTCTCTCCTTGTAATTTTCTGATATCGATTTGCTTACATAATTACGAATTTTCGTAGTGGAAGTTGACTCAAAACGGGACATTTCAATTTTTGAGTGACTGATAGGTATGTCAAAGTTTGACAGCCATAGCACTCTTATGCTGGCGAACAGAATATCCGCTCATGGTAGATTTATAAACTCAACTAAGCTAAGAACTCTAATCAACAATTAACAACTATAAGATTGCGTTTATAAACATCATTTACTGAAAATTCAGAATTAGGTCTTTTATTGTTTCGTGCTTGACGCTTAGAGTAAAGAAACCGTTCTGGGCGTTCTGTTTGGTTATATTATGTTTGATAAAAGGTAAGATGCATAAAAGGGTTGATTTCCTTCCTGATGAAGAATATTTCATAATACAGAGATAGTTTAATCAAAATAATGGACGACGGAGAACTGATAGAGAGGGTGTCCCAGTTTAGACTACTCTATGGCAAGAGAAACATGGATTTCAAAAACAATGTCAAAAAGGAAAATGCTTGGCAAACGATAGCCACTATAATGGGAGTTACTCGAAAGTATTTTCATTAAAACTGAAGTTAAATCTCCCCATAGACAAGATATATTTCATATTTTCGCGGTCTTTAATTCCTTAATGTCAATGTCAAAAAATATGATGCCTTATGCGCATGCGTCGAATTCATAATTGTTAATTCTTAGTTGAAAAGATGAAAGATGGCCATCTTCTTAGTTGTTAATTGTTAGTTTAATTGACAGACACAAGTTTATAAAACCCCAATGGGATTTCCATGTATCCATCTTTCTTAATTCTCATTTCTTAATTTAATTGTTGGTTTAGTTGAGTTTATAAATCCACCATCATATTGTTTGTTTACCTAAATAGCCGCTGATATCGCATATCCTGTGACTTCAATCATAACATTTCATAGGTCTAGCCGAATTGTGAATGAAATAATCTCGAATAATTTTTCAAGTCAGCTGCGCCTAAAAAAACAATTTTATGTTGATTGATTCGAGGATTGATTATGAGAAATACAATTACTTATCAGTAATTTGATTGTTTCTAATAATTCTGCTGTACATGCATTTTCTAGGTATTTGGTATTTTAAACGCTTTGGACTCTGTCATAGTCAGTCATAAAAAGGTAGATATGTATGGTATGTTCAAATGTGTTTGTTTTGCTGACAAATTTCTATTCTATCAATTTATGTCAAGTGTTGCAACATTTTTAATATCTGTATTTCCCAACGACATATTTATCTATATGGAAATGAATATGGAAATTCCATTTTTTTGTGTCGACAGTTGACTTGCATACGTAACTTAGGACCCCCTAGGACTTTTTCAGTCTCCACTGGTCAGGTTATGTAGCAGATTATAGGTTTTGGTCAATCTTCAAGGTCATTGATATAAACTACGTAAATTTTAGTGATGATTTTCGACATCGTATACCTCGTCGTATATTACACTTAGTTCCAAAAAAAGTGACGCACTTGATATTTGACCTATCTTTAAAAAAAAAAATTGTAGGCCGATTTTTTGGTAGGTAATGCAGTTGTCTTTGAAAAAAAGTAAAGAGGTGAACATTTTTTCAAAGCCTCCTTGATGGTGGTGGAATAACTCGAACCATGATTTATTCTTAATTTTTGACTCACCCTGTGTGTTAATTGAGTAATGGCATAGAAAGTGCTTGCACCCTATACGAAAGCGGCTTCTTTTGCGAGCATTTTGTTTTTTTTTTCTGTGACGGGAAAAAAGTTTGGCATTTCATCTCTGTTGGCAGGTTATAAAATGTCACTTTTCATAAATTACTTTTTTCCCGTGGGAAAAAAGTGAGTACTTCTTTCCCGGATATATATCACATATATATACTCTGTTAATGGCTTTTGTTGTGCTATAGTTCCGAAAAATTAGTCAATAATACCGTCTCCGAGAAAGAACTGCAAGTCCTTTTATCTTCCATTCGACTTCGCGGTTTCGTATATTACTAAACAACTACTGAATTCGCAATTTTTTAAAATAAAATCACAGAATTGAACTGACAGAAGTGACATCAGATATTTGATTACTTCAAAAGAATGATAAAGATGTCTATAAAACGCAGGTGTCCCTACTGTTAAATTTCACGTCGATAATTTTCAGATTTCGAAATAATGTAATATCTTCTCAATATTGATTCGTCCTTCCTTCTGTCACAGAAAAAAATAGTGTATTATACACGGGAAAAATATTAGATTTTAGCTCACGGTTTTTTGTCTCCCTCCGCTACGCGTCGGGAGACAACACAACCTGGAGCTAAAATCTACTACTTTTTTCCCTTGTATAATAAATAACTATTATTTATTGATTTATCTCTGAAATTTTCCGAATTACAGCTTTCGAGACAGCTTTTAAAACAAAAAAAAAGAAGAATAAGATAAGGTCGAGATAAGGTATAAACAGATGAACAGAAAAATGTAAATTTCTCGAAAACTTTTTACTTATCTCCAAAGGAATGTATCGAATAACCAATAACCCTGTATAGCTTACAATATAATTGAATGAATATAATAAAAGAACACAATATACATACAGCTTATTTTTACATTTTTCATGTTCATGATAAAACAAGAAAACACGACGGAGAAGACAGCTGGATTGACATGCATCATGCAATTATAATGAACACCCCGTACATCATTTCCAATTGTTTATCTATGAATAATCATAGTAGGATTGAATGAATCTACTTGATTATGTATGCAAATTCCTAAATTTGAAGGTAGTTTTTAGTTAATGAATTTGCAGGCCAATTATGGCGTTTTGTCAAGGTCTTAATATTTCAGTGTTGACGTTTACAAAATATTATTTCGGGTCAGGTAAATGATTTTATCATTCCAGGTTGAGGACCTTTTGAGTAATCATCAGTTATGAGTATAATTATTGTACTTATTCAATTTAATTATAGGGTACCACATTCAAAAACCAATAATCTTATATCGTCGTATCGAGAAGAAATGGGCCTACTGCATTTTTAGAATCATTGACAATATTGACTGGGCCATTGACAGACTTATTGACTGACGGATTTATTGATACATTGATGAATGATGAATTGACGATTTGATGACATCATCAATAATGGCTGAATTATTCATTGATGAATTGATGTGTTGATGAATTGTTGAATTGATTTATCGATTTATTGATTCATAGATTTATCGACTTAACAATCCATCAATTTATCGAACTATCAATTGATCTATTAATTGATTTTTTGATTAATTGATTTATTGATTCATTGATTCGTTGATTTATTGATGAATTGAATTGATTAATTGATTTATCGATTTATCGATAAATTGATTAGTTGATTGATTGATTAATAGATTTATCGATTAATTGATTAATCATAGATGGATTGCTAAATTGATAAATTGATAAATTGATAAATTGATAAATTGATAAATTGATGAATTGATAAATTGATAAATTGATAAATTGATAAATTGATAAATTGATAAATTGATAAATTGATAAATTGATAAATTGATAAATTGATAAATTGATAAATTGATAAATTGATAAATTGATAAATTGATAAATTGATAAATTGATAAATTGATAAATTGATAAATTGATAAATTGATAAATTGATAAATTGATAAATTGATAAATTGATAAATTGATAAATTGATAAATTGATAAATTGATAAATTGATAAATTGATAAATTGATAAAAGGATGAAAGTATGAAAGGATGAAAGGATGAAAGGATGAAAGGATAAAAGGATGAAAGGATAAAATGATGAATTGATTTATTGATTTATTGATTAATTGATTAATTGATTAATTGATTAATTGATTAATTGATTAATTGATTTATTGATTTATTGATTTATTGATTTATTGATTTATTGATTTATTGATTTATTGATTTATTGATTTATTGATTTATTGATTTATTGATTTATTGATTTATTGATTTATTGATTTATTGATTTATTGATTTATTGATTTATTGATTTATTGATTTATTGATTTATTGATTTATTGATTTATTGATTTATTGATTTATTGATTTATTGATTTATTGATTTATTGATTTATTGATTTATTGATTTATTGATTTATTGATTTATTGATTTATTGATTTATTGATTTATTGATTTATTGATTTATTGACCTATCGATTTGATGTTTCTTCGATAAATTGATGAATGTGAATTGTTGAGTAGATGAATTGAAAAATTGATGAATTGACGAATTGATAGATTGATGAACTGATGAATTGACAAATTGATATAAATTCATGAATTGATGGATCCTGTCCAGCGATCTACAACTGGAAGGGCGACACGCGGTTCGGATTGCCCCTCGAGATCGGAGACACCGTCCAGATCTTGGAAGAGTGCCAGGGCTGGTACAGGGGCTTCTCTACCAAGAACAGGGCCCACAAGGGCGTCTTCCCGCACGCCTACGTCCACCTGAAGCCGTGCAAGGTGGACAGCGAGGGGCTGTTCGAGGGGGTGGTGCCTCTCGAGGACCCCATCATCAGGGAGGTGACGTTGGTGTTGAGAGAATGGGGCAGGATATGGAAGGATATATTCGTGGTGAGATATGTTGCTCGGAAATTGGATTGCGGATTTTTGATACCTCGAGAAAATAGTATATTGTGCAACAAGTTTGAAAAGTGCTTTTCCCCACATGTTGCACACTATACTTTTTCTACAACTGCACTTATTCAAAGAATCCGAGTAATGTAACTTATTGGTATTCATTTTATAATGTGGCACTATGCCACATTGAATATTGTGACCAAAGACCCAATTCCTCAAAGTATTTCAAAAAAGTATTCTTTCCGAAAAATATCTTATTTCTGTATTTTTTTTAGATTCCATAAATTGTTCGTTTATGCCAATTCATACTTTTTTCTTGAAATCTCCGGAAGCAAATCCAACTTTCGCAGCTTCTTCCATCATCTCTATCTCTGGCGGTGTATTTATCAAAATCGTCACATCTCGGTATATATACAGTGTGACCCATTTAAGATGGAAGCGCCCTTATAAAACTTACATTTTTCAACCGATTGGAATGATTTTTTTTTGTTGGGTAGATATTCAAAAAGTCTATTAGGACACCAAATATCATGAATAAATCTCCATTTCCAGGGCCAACTAATCTGATTTTTCAAGGTCAAAAATCTAAAAAAATTACTAGCGATTTTTTTAGAAAAAATCTGACTACACCACTGGATTTGTGACATTTTCAAATGGGTAACATGTAAATAACGTTGAAATGCGTCAATCAATAAAAAAGTTATAAAGGAATGAAATTTGAAAAATATGCCGTTTAATCAACCCACCAATTCATGTTCAGGAATTTCATGAAAATTCTGTATACTCCACTGGATTCAGGATGTCTTGAAATATTACTGATCACAGTTTCATCGAAATCTGTTCAGTAATAAAAATTGATGGGTTGATAAACGGCATATTTTTCAAATTTCATTCCTTTATAACTTTTTTATTGATCGACGCATTTCAACGTAATTTACATGTTACCCATTTGAAAATGTCACAAATCCAGTGGTGTAGTCAGATTTTTTCTAAAAAAATCGCTAGTAATTTTTTTAGATTTTTGACCTTGAAAAATCAGATTAGTTGGCCCTGGAAATGGAGATTTATTCATGATATTTGGTGTCCTAATAGACTTTCTGAATATCTACCTAACAAAAAAAATCATTTCAATCGGTTGAAAAATGTAAGTTTTATAAGGGTGCTTCCATCTTAAATGGGTCACACTGTATATATATATATACATCATATTATTTATTATGAATTGTTGGAATAATATTTGATGGAAAATGCGATTTCTATCAAAAGCACTAATGAGAACTTTCCTAAAGAATTTAAAAAACTTCTTCTGACAGTTGTGATAACTATTCGAAGCTGAAAAGCAGCCAAGTTTCGGTCGATTTTTGTTGATTCTCCATGGAAATGTGGTGTTGGCAAAGTAGCGTGAGAAAAAATATTTCTCACAGTATGAGCGATACATGGTTTTGAAACGAAGTACGCTATGAGAAATGCGCTACTTTTCAGAGCAGTAAAGTAGAAAAATAATATTTCTTGCCCCTGATCACCTTTCCTGATTTTTTAATGCATGTTTTTGAAAAAAATTTATAAAGTCAACAAAGGCCCCCGAACATATCTCTCATGGGTTATGTCAAACCAAATCGGAATACAATCACTTATTTTACTAGAAAATCAATTAGATTTTCCACGGAAGTCAAACATTCTCGCGCTGTAGAAAAAAACTACAAAATACCCAAATTTCAGCCAATTTATAAAAAAACATTTTCCATAAGATCTGTCGAAGTCATTAATTCCTGAGGTTCTGCTTTTGATATTTTATTGGATAGTGTCAAAAGAGATGGAGAAATTTTTAACAATGAAGTCATTTCATTCTGACTCAAAAAATTATGTTGTGCCCCTTAGTGACTGTTCTGATTTTTATTGGATTATATTGAATAAAAAATTGGAAGGATATATTCCTGTTGAGAAGTATTTATTGAAATTGCGGATTCTTGACACCCTGAAAAGAATTGTTCATGCCCCTGATCCCTTTTTTGATTTTTTAATGAGCGTTTTTAATAGCTATTTATATAGGTATCTATTTCCTCCCGCGTGTGCGCGCATTAAACACACATGGGAGGAAATAAACCTGTGCTCCCATGATATACAGGGTTAATCACGGTGGATGGCCTATTAGAAGTATCTGGCGAACGAAAAGACAGAACATTCTGAAAATTGGGAAGTTTTGATAATTGAACATTCTCTAACCGTCTAAAATATTTTCATCGATACAGTGTTGCCACCTCTATCAGAAACAACTAGCAACTTCGTTATTTCAAATGGAGCACCCTGTATTTTATTGCATTTTTAGATTCTTCTTGAAGAGCTGATTTCATTGATGTATCACACTTGGGGTCTAGCAGGAATGATTACAGAGATAAAGGGTGTTCAAAATCGAGATTTTTCAATATTAGGATTTTTTTGTGTCGAAACTATGTATTATCGATCAAAACGGCTCACATGTAACTATCTTAACTTTCGATTCACGACCTACTGACATTTAATTGGAACAGATACAGGGTGATCAGAATTGTGAATCTCGAAGCACCCTGTATTTTTTTCGATTAAATTTCAGTAGATAGTGAATCAAAAGTTAAGATAGGGACATGTAAGCCGTTTTGATCGATAATGAATAGTTTCGACACAAAAAAAATCCTTAAATTGAAAAATCTCGATTTTGAACACCCTATATCTCTGTAATCAATTCTGCTAGACCCCAAGTGTGATACATTGATGGAATCAGCTCTTCAGGAAGAATCTAAAAATGTAATAAAATACAGGGTGCTCCATTTAAAATAACGACGTTGCTAGTTGTTTCTGATAGAAGTGGCAACACTGTATCGATGAAAATATGTTAGACGGATAGAGACTGTTCAATTATCAAAGCATCCCAATTTCCAGAATGTTCGGTTTTTTCGTTCTCGAGATACTTCTAATAGGCCATCCACCGTGGATCAACCTGTATATATCTTGAGAGCAAAGGTTAGTTTCCTCCCATGTTTGTTTAATGCCCTTTACTAAGCGTCGGGCATCAATTATCACACGCGGGAGGAAATGGATTCCTTTGCGCTCTCGATATATAAATAGCTAGTACTATTGTTTTTTGTTTCAGGAGAGGAACCATTACAAATTCGAAACGGTGGGTAAGGTCATGAGAGATCTTCTAGAATGGAGAAGGCAGCTTGTTTCTGGCACCTTGACACACGATCAAACAAGGGAATTGAAGTTGAAAATCATCCAGAAAATCGATTGGGGAAATCGGTAAGTTCCCATATTTATCGTCAAGTGTTGCAAAAAAAATAAGCATGAAGATTTATTGGAGGTTTTTGTTTATTTTATTTGTATATAAGACACTTCTAGGAATCGGCAGGAATTTCAGAAGATGTTTCACCAGTCTCACTCACTAAAAAATATAAAAAGCTAATAAAAATACAATCCATAAAAATTATCTAAATGAGCAAAAGCATTGATTTGTTCGTCGTCCTAACGAGAATCACAAAAATAGTATTTCACGTACAATAAAAAAAAAGTAAAATACCGAATAACTAATATCTATTATGGCTTAAAAAACTGCCATTGTCATGTCTACCGATAGAAACTGAGAGATTGAGAAAACACGAAGTAATCCAACATTAGTATATCTTCTTTGTTCATGCGTCCGTTTCTTTGAACTTTTCTATTTCCGGGTAGATGGGGCTCATTTCTAGAGTGCTAGGAGCAGAAGGTAAGTTACTGTTGCTCCCGAAACTTAGTCGTCTCACATACTCCTCCAAGATTTCTCCAAACACCAACTGATTGGTGTTTTGTCCCAGAAGATGGATAAGCAAGAAGTCACCAACCTGAAAAAAAAATTAAAACATTTAGAACTAGTTGACAATGCAAGGTTATTTGTGCTACTGTTGAAATCCGAAGAGAATCTCTCCAAAAATCTGATGAGATTCATTCGAGGATTCATTGCTTGAGAGTTGGTAAATCTCGAAAATTCACTGACGAACATGGTAAAAGTCATGAAAATATCAAACATCAAACTTATCAATTAGCATTTCAGACATTGTGTTGATTTGACCAAATCTCCAAAGGTGAGGCATTTCGTTTTGTGAGGTGCCAAATGTCATATGTAAATGAAATCGTCATCACTTCGTGAAAGTATGCTGTTTCTTTATCAGATCAAGATCTTGTGGATTGTTATCAGCAAAAACAATTTCTTCAACCCCTATTTTTCAATACATAAAATATATTCGACATGTGACACTAAATTTGATAGTAGTTGCTGCCAACACAAAAATACAAAATGACGACCAGTATGCAATATGTTCAATTTTACCAGTTTGAGGTCTATGTCAATGTTGAAATTCTACAAAATTGTATATAAACAAACAAAAAACCTCAAGTTGCAAAGTTAGGCTTGCACATGCTTGGGTTTTTTACTTCCATTGTTGAACTTTACGTGCATCTTCATCATATTAAGCGAGAAGAAGATGACCTAAAATAGAGGCAAATAAGACGATTCAGTGTATTTAATCCAATCTAACGCGATGTCATAGCAGCATCATTTAGTAACAGTGATTTAGTGATTATTTCCTGAAAACCACCCTATTTTCCCCTTGGTGCTTCGTTTTTTTGTTCAATTCCATGGTAAAGTTTCTTCTATTAGCTTATCATGAATAAGGAAACTATTGGAATGTCATTGAAATGTGACACAGACCATTCTGACTGAATAACATCTCGAAACATGAAGATTAATCTTTAGCTGAAGTTTGAAATCGAGGACATTGAAGTCAATTTTTGAACCATGACAAACTGCCACAACATCGATTCAGATAATGGATAGTCTCGATGTACCATTTTTATATCTCTTGGATGACAGGGAAGGAAATCCATATCATGTTCGTGGAACATCGTAAGTATCTCGGATAAGAATAGCGAAGAAGTTGTTTTTTCTTGAAGGTCATAGCTTTTAAAGATCTGCATCTTGGTAGAGTTGAAAAATTCTATATCATTACTTCGAAGTTGGAAACCAACTCCCCAGAATCCCAAACTTGTTCGGGGATAGGAAGAGCTGGACCTATAGATACCGTTTTTTTTTCAACTCTTGAAGGTTGTAGATTAATGAAAATCTATAAAAAGTAGTTCTTCTTGACATAGAGTTGAAAAAAAAGTATATCGCTACTATGAAGTGAAAAACCAACATCCCAGAAGCCCAAACTCGTGTGGGGCTAGGAAGAGCAGGATAGCTGATAGTGGATTGTGATCTACTTTTGGCTTCGACAAATTTCAAGGCTGCATCCCGAGTAATCTGATCGTGGCATTATAAAAAATATTGAAATATTTCAGCTTTCGAAGATCTGCTATTCCATCTTGATAGAGAGTTGAAAAAAACATTGTTTATCGTTATTTTGAAGATGAAAAGCAACTCCGCAGGAGTCGAAACTTGTTCGGGGTTTGGAAGAACGGGACCTACAGCGTACAGTGGATTGTGAACCGTTTCTAGGGATAGTCTCGATGTACTATTTTTATAAACATTGAATGGCAGGAAAGTGAATCCATATTATGTTCCTGGAACATCGTACGTGTCACGCAAGGGCGATGAACATGTTTTTTCTTGAACTCTTGAAGTTTATAGATTCATGGGAATCTTCAAGAAGCATTTGTTAGATTTGCCATTTCATCTTGGTAGAGATGGAAGAAAATGTATATCGTTACTTCGAAGTTGGAAACCAACTTTCCAAAAGTCGACCCACAGCTTATAGTGGATTCCGAATAATCTAATCATCGATATTGTCATCTTACTGACCTTATAGAATATATAGAAGCCTCACCTGAGTCTTCCTGATGATGATCTCAACGGCATTCGGCGTATTCAGCCTGAACCGCCTTTTCAAAATCGTAGCGTATTGGGCGCCAAAATAATGAACCAGAACCAAAGGAAAATTTAAATTTTCTCGTTGAGGATGTTGAGCACCAGGATGCAGAGAGAGTCGTACGTTTGGATGGAGCCAGAAGGACCGTATTTGTGTTAAAACACATATCGGAGCGAGAGCAAAGATAAATCCTCAGTTGAAGTTTAGAAACAAGGGACAATGAAGTCGCATTTCGAATCATGTCATCAGCATAGCCCCAATATTGATTTAGAGAGAAAAATATTGAACCCTCACCTGTGTCTTCCTGATGATGGACTCAACGGTATTCGGCGTATTCAGCCTGAACCGCCTCTTCAAAATCGTAGCCCTGGTATTGGGCGCCAAAATAATGAACCAGAACCAAAGGAAAATTTAAATTTTCTCGTTGAGGATGTTGAGCACCAGGATGCAGAGAAAGTCGTTCGTTTGGATGGGGCCAGAAGGACCGCATTTGTGTCAAAAAAAACATCTCGGAGCGAAAGCAAAGATAAATCCTTAGTTGGAGTTTGGAAACAAGAACAATGAAGTCGCATTTCGAATCAAGTCATCAGAATAGCCCCAATATTGATTTAGAGAGTCGAAACTTGTGCGGGGTTAGGAACAGCAGGACCTACAGCTCATAGTGGATTCCGACTACGTATAGGGCCTTCGACAAATTTCAAAGTTACTGGCATTATAAAAAAATATTGATCCCCCATCTGAGTCTTCCTGATGATGGTGTCAACGGCATTCGGCGTGTTCAGCCTAAGGCTCCTCTTCAAAATCGTCTCCCTGGTATTGGGCGCCAAAATAATGAACCAGAACCGAAGGAAAATTTAAATTTTCTCGTTGAGGATGTTGAGCACCAGGATGCAGAGAACGTCGTGCGTTTGGATGGAGCCAAAAAAGCCGTATTTGTGTAGAAGAAAACATCTCGGAACGGGTGCAACGATAAATCCTTAGTTGAAGTTTGGAAACAAGGACAATGAAGTCGCATTTTGAATCAAGTCATCAAAATAGCCCCAATATTGATTTAGAGAGTCGAAACTTGTGTGGGGTTAGTTACAGCAGGACCTACAGCTCGAAGTGGATTCCGACGAATTTCAAGGTTATAAGGCATTATAAAAAAATATCGAACCCTTACCTGAGTCTTCCTGATGATGGTCTCAACGGCATTCGGCGTATTCAGTCTAAACCGCCTCTTCAGAATCGTCTCCCTGGTATTGGGTAACATAACAACAGCCGCAGAATAAACAATGGCCAATCCTGAAAGCAGCGCCAGTATGATGAACCAGAACCAAAGGAAAATGTAGATTTTCTCGTTAAGGATGTTGAGTGCCAGGATGCAGAGAGCGTCGTGTGTTTGGATGGAGCCAGAAGGACCGTACTTGTGGAAGGTGCACTTGGTGACCCTGGGGAAGACGGCCACCATGGGGTCGGTGCGGTTCTCCTGGTTCATGTTGGAGAAGGAGACGACGTCGGTGCCGTAGGTGAGGAATGCTCCTCCCAGGAATTTGTCTGTCATGAAGATGTTCACCATCTAGAGAGAAATAAAATAAGTTATAAACCCTCCTTTTCAGGTTTTTCATTTGTGGACCGTAACACTGTTCATTAATGATATGAACAAGTTTATTTCGTGTTCCCTTTTTCTATTCCGATCTTCTTCTTCTTCGTTTTCTACTTTATTCAACTAATAACGGGAGCTAGGAAATCCCTGTTATGTTTGTAGGACAAAGTGTGTGCTTGTGGCACCGAGAAAAACTAGAATTGTTTTCAACTCACAGATTGCTTCTCAACTTTATTTGTGATCCCACATGTTTCTGAACTATTTCAGTTCAAAGTTCGTTCATATCCAAAATAATTCAATTTGAGTTAACATACTCGGGTGACGGCCACACCAGTTTTTTGTTCAATTTGCTAGACCGGCACCCACTAGATGGAAATCCATAGTAACTGTAAGAACTCTACGATAAGATTTACATAAAATTTTCAAAAAAAAAAAAAAAAACAGATGATTCGGTAACACAGTCGCTTCTTCAGTAAACGTCGTGTTCTTTTTTGAGAAGGCTGTGGAAATCTTATCGTTCTTAAAATTCTTTCATATTAGGTTTAATGAAAGAGCGTTAACGAACTGTGAATATGTGGTTAACATACTTCTTCATTCATGACCTGTTGAAAGTTCTCCTATATTTTCATAATAATGGGTATATTCGCCACATAAGAAACATTGGGAGCCAAATTCATGAACAAAAAAAATCAAGTTTTTTTATCTCCTTTAGCCCACATTGGGTGCCAAATTGTAGAATCAAATGAAACATTGACTGACATGTCATTTACTGAAATACTTGCCGGATATACCCACATTGGGCGCCAAATTGCTGAAGAAGGAAAATCAAGTGAAATATTATCTAAAATGTCAATCTTTCAGCGAATTACTTGCCAGATATACCTACGTTGGGCGCCAAATTTGACGAGCTGACAAATTGACGAATATATTTTCGAAAATGTATATATTTCAGTGTAATACTCGTCACATGACAAAATTTTGACAAAAATGAGCAAATCGAAGTGAATGTTTGCTAAAATACACTATCATCAGATTGATACTCACCACATTGATAAAATTCAGTGCTTCGCAGGCGAAATATCCAAAAGCGTAGGAGTTATGTAAATGCATCGTTTCGATGAGATATTGCACTAAGCGATTCTGTCTGTGTTCCCTTTCAGGTTTTTCCCCTACTCCTACAAGAGATCCTCTCAAACCATCGGTTACCATCCGGATTTTTCCCTGTTCCCAGTTCTTCCATATCCAGTGGGGAATGTAGAATAGAACTCCCTAAAAAATAAATTATATGAAGACTAGACAAATACTACTTTCATCTCTCGACAAATTAATCATCACTCGTATCAAAATGGTTCTAATTGGTGAATCGTCTACAAATTTCAGAAGCACTTTGGCCAATATCAGGTTGTGATCGGCCAATCAACTGATACGAGTAAAATAGGTCTCTATTCTGCAATTTCCATTGGTCTATCTACAGGTAAATTTTCAATGACGTTAAATGCGATACAGTTAGCAAGGATACTAATAATTCCTATCCCTACTAATATAAATGATGTAAATTTGTTTGTCAGGCTTTCACGCTATAACTACTCAATCGATTATCATGAAACTTTGTGTACATTTTCTTAGATGTATTAGAATGGACACAGGATACTTTTTATTAGGTACATTTTTTTACGACGGATAAAAAAAATTTTGGCCACAAAATATCCAACAATCAGACATAAATCTGTATACGTCAGTACCTTAGATATTAATTATTAGATTACATCTTTTTGAACTCGAAAGTCATGGATTATTTTGATGATGAAATGGAAATGACAAATATCTAACCTATCAGCAGGTGGGCACTTCGAAGGCGCAAATTTATAACTGCAAGGGAGATACCCAGATTCTTTTGCTATTCAGTGACGTGAGCACAAATGCCATTGACTTTTTGTCTTCTGCGCAACCAAAATGCATGAATTTCATTCCACCTGAATTGGTCCATCTAGTGACAGGCCGCAACAAATAATGCAGGCAGAAGCATGCCGCAGTGCAGTGCATTTTAACTTTTGTTGTAGTAAATTATTGCAATAAAGCGTGTTTTCAGTTTTTGAAACTTCATTGTATGTAGTAATTTTTGAATATGGAATCACATCGATTCAGTTCTATTGAAATGTAATGATTTTTGGAATTTATTCAAGGACTCCAACCAGGACCTACTCTTTTTCACAGGACCGTAGTCCATTCCCTCTATATCGATGCTGACGTCACACTAGTAGGTTTCAATTTCACAAGAAACACACTCAATCGAGATGAATTGACCCCTAATGAATTACCCAACTTTTAGTGTAGAAATAGAAATGAACCAGTACCGATTTATGATGATGTAAAGACATTCAATTTTGAATGATCATGAAGTTGTACTAGCTGCTAAAACCCACTAAGATACAAAAAATTGTTTCATAACGATTTGTAGACAATGAAATTTACTACAAAAAAGACAGCATATATCCACAGCTTATAGGTTTATCAAGGGAACCGTCTCAACTTTTTGAACTAGTCTGTAAGAATCATCTGAAATATCTGTTTGTTCTTGGCTCTTGGGAATTTTGAAAAAAATTACAGTCAATCTAGATACTATGGTGAAGCCTTTGCATGGTTGAATCATTTCTGTGAATTGAATATTGAAATTTCAGCAGCTGTTTGAAAAACGACAATTCGCTGAAGTCGATTTATTTTGATATGCTATATTTCCCAAAGTATTATTCGTAAATCAGTGAATATTGTTTCATATCTTCGAAAAAATTGTTCTGTGCATATTTCATCTCTTGAAATTTTTTGATAACTGTTACCGTTTTCCCGTGGTACGTACGTCAATGAATTGGGAACGCCTCGATTTTTTTCCCTACTAGTGTGACATCACGAAAGCGATGCTCTGGTCCGGCGAGATATAGTAGGCCCTGCTTCAACGCAAGCAAAGCCTCGTGTAAAAGCTAGTACTGATATAAATGGCCAGCTTATGATTCAACACTAATTTTTTGTATTTACCTGGAAAAATAGTACAAACGGCACCCACTGATAATAGCTGTGGTACCTTCTGTCTTGATTTTGGTTACCCAATCCGGGATGTGCTACCTCAGTGCCAATGTATTTCCCCTGTTCGTGAGGTAACGTGAAGGTGTACGTGATCCAGCAGTATGTGTTTATCACGTGACCTGGTACTCCTCTGTCATTTATACACTGGATCGGATCACCTGAAAAAAAAATAATGACTATCAGTTCATGAAATTATTATTAGCTGATTTTATAAAGTACTAGCTGTACCCTTGAATCAATTTCAAGTCATTTTATTTATTATAGCTGCCCGGCAAACTTTATTTCTAGAAAATATTGTTATGATTTGAATATTCAACAACACACTTTTATTGTCTTATATTCTATCTGTTTAGTTTCACTAACCATGAAAGTGAGTTTTCTTAGTTTCCCAAACTACTATATATTTTCTACTTCATTCAGTTTGGTAATCTGTCTCTTTAGTTTGCTAAACTACTATTTTTTTTCTGCTTCTTTTTAGTTTTGCTATCTATGAATGTGTGTTTCATTGCTTTTTCAAAACACTATTTATTATATAGCTCGTACGAAATATTGGATCCGCTATCTCGAATTTTCTAATTATGACGAAGGAATCATAATCTTCGACCCAAAAAACCCCCATAAACCAATTTTGAATAGAATCGGATGATAATTTCAAAATTCGTTCGCCATATTGGATCCATCATCTCGAATTTTCCAATTTTGAAAAAAGAATCATGATCTTCGACTCCAAAAACCCCCAGATACCAATTTTGAATATAAACGGATTATAATTACAAAACTCGTATGCGTCCGCCATATTGGATCCGCCATCTTGAATTTTCCAATTTTTTGCTCTCATAGGAACCTTCTCCTGATAATAACAAACACAACAACAAAAATTAGGGAAATCGGTCCAGCCGCTTACGATTCAATAAAGGACATACAGACTAATTGAATAAAAAACGGGAAAACAAATCAAGTAAGTCACTTCAAAACAATTGAAATGATTGAACTCCGCGTGATTGTGCCTTCCGCAGGAAAATTTGACCAGAGGTGACGTCAGAATTGCTATAGTGTAGAACTTTGGGTGGAAAAAGGAATATCACCCCAAATTTTATTTTGATCCCTATATTCTTAGATTGGTGCCATTCGATAGTATAAGTCGAGCTTTAATGCAAGGTTTTGTATAGGTTGTTGAGAATTTTCAACCTATCTCGTCTACTCCCCAACATAAACAATATTACATCCTCGGAACTATCAGAAGAACCTGCTAGAACTTTTGGAAGTTTTGGATCTGGAGACAAGGACTCCAATAACACTTTTGATACATAATTTTCCATTTAACATTAGTTTTCGCCAATGGGCGTGTACACCTTTGTAGAACTTTTAACTCAAACCATGTTTATAATGATCCTTTTATACATAAACATTGATTGACGACAAAATTCGATCGAAAAATTAACGAATGTTTTATTTTTGGACATAAATAATAGTATCTTCTGAAAACAGACCCTCTTATGACGTAGAAACCTCATCTCGCCATAGTTAAAAGAAAATACCAAACGCCCGACGGAGACTGAGGCAACTGATATATTAATTCTTTCAACTGTGATCTCGCGCTAATTCATTCTGTCTTAAATCATGTATCATTCATCTCTGTCTGGAATAGTCTTGTTTCAGTATTAGGGTTTGGAGTCACATCATCGCCTCGTTTTCAGAGGTCCGAAAAATCGGGGATTTCAATAATTTTTTATAAAACTCAGGGAGTTCACAGCAAGAAACGGTTTGCGGTGGTGAGCTAGTTTGGGTGAGTTCTATCGAATTATGAAATATTTTTTTTTGTGATATAAGGCCATTCTGAGCTTCTAGTTGAAAACAATCTAAATCCTTATCGAATCACGAAAAAATTAATAAATAGAGGAAAAAACAGTTGTGATTGTCATGTTAAATAACTGCGTTTTTTTTCAACACACTGATCACTCCAACAATTCGATACATCAGAGAGTGACGTCACTTCCATCAATGATGAAAATGTGGTGTAAAAAAGAACATGGCCAAGTTGATATTTTTATTCTATCATATGACATTCAGTCACTGGTTAAATGTTTGATGTGATGTTGTGTAATCATTTGTCTTTTTTGAGTATGCACATATTTGTGATAGATAAATTTTCCATTTTTAGCAAGTAAACTTCCAAGTTTCCGTGAGATAAGATGTTTTATTGTTAGTTGCATGCAAAGGTACTTGAACCGAAACAAAGGAAGTTCACTGATTTTTCTTACCAATCAAATTGTTGGCAGTAACGATGATGCAACAAAGGAACAAAATGGCGGATGTTATCCTGTAGTGTGCTCTGAATACCATGTTGTCTATCATAGCTTTGTCGATGAGGTAGCGGACTTTGATGAAGCCCGCTACAGCGGAAACCATTCCGAAGACAGTCATCCTGATTTATCTGAAATTGAAAACATATTATTTACTAATATAATTATACAGGGTGGATCTGAATAACTCCGAAAAAATTCAAGGAGATGTTGAAGTTGGAAGTATTAATTGCTTTTATTTATTACCCCTCTGTATAAGCTTTCATGGTGCCAAAATTCAGTATGGATTGAGACTGAGTAAGCCTCAAAATGATTCTGATTGAGGTTATTGGGTAATCTCAATGGAAGTCTTGAAAACACCTAAGTTAAAATTTGGAGTCAAATCGAACTTTTATTGCTTCCTCAAAAACTGAGCTAGATACAAAAATCACACAGAGGATTATAAAGTTGTTATTTCAATAGTTCAATCTAATGAATTTGCACTAGAAGAAGCTCCATATTACTATTAACAAAACCACAACGTTTTATTGGAATTGATGAAAAGACAATTGAGAAATGAATACAAAACAGATTTTTCATGGAAATATTAATACCCTGTATCTTGAAAACGAAGCAAGTTAGGAAACAGGACACATGTTTATATGTACTTCATTTCCTAAAACATCACAAGGAATCACCCAATGAAATATCTCGGTGTTATTTAGATACACCCTGTATAAGGTTATTAATTGTTGAAGAATAAATGTGGGGTGCTTTGAATGTAACATGGTATTGTTCATTGTTTTTAAACAAATGATTAGTGGGTAAAAAAAATATACATTCCTGTTTGTTAAGGAGTTGATAATAATGAAATTATACTGGTCATTTTTCGAGGTTGATATGATCAAATTCGTGGTTACCGTAAAATATAAATAAATCTTACCAAAGTTATGTGTCAGTGATTTGAAAAACTAAAATATGATCAATCATACATTTTCAGGAGCACTCAATAATTATAATATCATAAATATTTTCTGTGAATGTGGGTGTTTCCCAGTTGCGATTTTTCTAGATGAATTGAATGCTCTGAGTGTTAAATACTTGTAGTGTAATGGCTGATTTATCTCATCAATTACCCATCAGTTAAAAATTAATTTTCAATAATTCATACTGCCCAATCATAATCGGCAATTGAATTGAAGTCAAAGTTGAACACCAATTATCTCCATGAATCTGAAGCAAATATTTGTTTATCTTTGACGATTTTCTATCGTCATACTAATATTATTTCAACCATCAGACTTCTTAAGAATACTTCAGTCACTCAACTTCATTAGAATTTGGGGGCCATACAAATTGAATAATAATGTACTTATAGTTTATAAAATTATTCGATAAAAACCATAGAAGGCTCTACGATTTCTCTCTAAGAATTATTCTTACCAATTTTTAGTTGAAAATCAATATTTCTCAGGAGCCTGATATCAATACATTAAAAATCAATAATTCTAGTCACTAAATGCGTTATAATTAATGAACTAGGCCTGTGCGATCAACTATATCGTTGTTTCACAAATGCAACAGGTGGCTTCTTAAAGTGACGCATAAAAAACATACTAAACCATACCTGTTACAATGCCTTCATTCATATCATAATCTCGACTGTTATGACTGTATTATCAATAACTTTATCTACGTTTTATGAGCTTTCGAACTCAATTTGAATGTTGTCACGAACGGTCTCGAGTATATGAATGTATGTCACATGTCAGACTGTCTTTGCTCATTGTTTTCTGCGAATTTTCTACCAGAAAAACAGTAAATTCTACTCCATAAGTGCTCAAGAAAGTGCTGTTGAACCATAGTTTTGTGTAGACAAAGCAGTTTCTATTGTTACATAAAGTAACACCTAGGCAATTTAATTAACCCGAAATGATAATGCTTTTTTAATACTGAATTGAGCTAATTCTAAATGTTGTCAACTAGTTTATGCAATCAACATGCATGTGTCGATACAAATGTTTTGCTAATAGAACCAATTTGTTCAAACAAATGAGAGATTGTTGGCAATTACCTTTTAATTCGATGTTTCAGAAGACTAGATAAGTATTGTTTTCCTTTAGCTGGTATTCTCACCAACAACGAAATGCACTATATACCGGATTTTGTAATTAGATAGTGGTTGAACTTTAGAGATATCGTAGCATTTTTATTAAATGCTACGAGAAGCGAACGAAACCAAACTAAAGTAATGTTCTCTTCGTGTGCCTGGTGTGACAAAGGAGGGGATCCGCTGGCTCTCTTTGCTGCTTTGACGCTGGCTAACCGTCTGTCCTTGTCTTGTGGCTTTATTTGCCTTTACTTGGTAGGATTGCGACTGTTTTGTAGCAGCTGCGTTACTGAGTTATATGCCCTAACCTTGGACGGGATTAAGCTCAATTTCGTTTGATACTATGCTAGATTTTATGCTGCCTTCTTGAGTTACCGGTTTGGGTCAACCTGTGAAATGCATTCTTGGAGATTGGGAATTTTACATTTTACTCTTTCAGGCCTATCAATAGCATAACCACTGGGTGCGACGCCTACTTACCTTGTGATTCAGATAATAACAAAATATGTCTCATTTTGATAGTATATGAGATGTTTTTGTTTTTGATGATAAGCTACATGTGTGTGGTAATTTCTGATAAATATTGGTTCATGGAAGAAAATCATCTTGCAGCATATGTAGTTGAATTTCATAACCATGAGTCATCTTTGTCTTGAGATACGTAGACTTTTTAGAAAGAGTGTGGGAATGAATCAGCGTTTTAGACCGGTTCAGGTATATACACAGGCCACTAGGCCAGGTACATTGTAAAGGTAGTTATAGCGTCTATTGGTATCTGTCATGAATTTTCAATCAATATTGAATATTTTATCAATTGAGAAATTCCTATTTATCAATAGGGATAAGAATAATATACTTGGGTTTACCTGCGATAGCTAGTTTACCTATACCTGTTTCTTGAAACTCAATTTGGAATATGACGGTAATAATTTGAAATAAATTATCATTGGGTATTATATTTTCAGTCATAGATTCCTTTATTGATTATTCTTTTATGCTTCTGAACAGGGCCGGATCAAGGCCATTTGGCGCCCGAGGCACAATAAATTTTTTCGCCCCTTACACATTTAAAGAGAAAGAAGTGGCTAATATTTTTCTTCTCGAATTGTCTTCCCATTTCAAATGAGTTACAGGAAATCTTCATCAATGTATCTAGAATTTACCATGATTACCAAATTCGTCCAGAGCTCCAATAAAGCTAAGTAAAAATTTTATATTTTCACGATATATCCATATTTCTCTTGACATTGACAATCGAATATCGATTGGATTTTTCTTCTATGCTCTCTAATAGTGAAAATTTTTGAAATCATGTTCGATGTTTAAGAGAGAAATGTCGCTTGGCCCTGATGACTGATATATCGATCAAAACCTGTATTTCTAATCTAATAATTTCGTTACTAACGTCATGATATTTATTGATCATTATGTCATAGAATAGAATCGAATATTTATGCATAACTCAGAAATTCTCTTGTGTTTTGCTTATAAAACTTATTGGCAAAATTTTTGCCCCAAATTCTGAATTCGCCCCTGGGCAGTTGCCCTGTGGTTAATCCGGCCCTGCTTCTAAACAAATCAGAAGTAATTAACTACCTATTTCTAACATTCGAACGCCTTTTTTTATACTATTTAAGGAACACTTCTGCTATAAGTTCTTAATATGTCAAACTTAAACATAGAGAAATAAATGATACCAGAATGGATAAGAAATAAAACTCAACTCTTTTAGATTCCCATCGGAAAGAGTTGAGATGAAATAAAAATTGAATATTCATCCTGTTGTTATTGTTCAATATGGAGGTATACACACATCAGAGTGAATAATATGACTAATTGAAAATAATATCGTTAATTATTATTGTTATTTATTGAACATTTTGTGACCAACGATGTCATTGAAACCCACATACATGAGTGATCCTGGATCTGGTTGTGATCCAAACTTAAAAATTATTCCGCCAGAGTCAACGACCTCTGTCTTCAAGGTTATGAACTGTCTCTTTATACTTTGCACGTCTGCTGCACAAATCTCCACGTCCAGAAGAAATATATGCGCACATATTACGTCTTACATTTATTTTTACAATCCTTTCACTCCTAGTTCCGATAATGCTCTTCTTTTACCAAGGATGCATAGAATAATTGTGTATATTACTATTTCATGACTAAACTATTCTGAAAATGAAATGAAAAAGGAAACGAAACCATATTCCACATGATATACGAAATTCCATAATTCCAATCTATGGTTCCGATGATGCCATTTTTTACATAGGATGCATAGTAGAGGTAGGTATATTCTGTGTATTACGATTTCGTAAATAAACTAATAGCCTTTATCATTTTTGTGATGTAGTGAAAAAAAATCTCGAAAATATTTCACAGGAAATAGGTAGGTACCCATCAATTTCCAAGGTTTGACGAAGGTAAAAGTATTCTGTCTTAGTTCCGATAATGCCCTTCTTTTTTGCCAAGGATGCATAGAATAATTGTGTATATTACGATTTCATGACTAAAGTAATTGCCTATTTTTTTTCTGAAAATGAAATGAAAAAAGAAACAAAACAATATTCCACATGAAATACCCAATTCCATAATTCCAATGGTTGACGAAGGTAACGAATCCTTTCAGTCTTAGTTCCGATAATGCCCTTCGTTTACCTATAGGATGTATAGTAGAGGTATATTCTGTGTATTACGATTTCTTAAATAAACTAATTGCCTTTATTATCTTCTGATGAAGTGAAAAAATAAATCTGGAAAATATTCCACAGGAAGGTACCCATCAATTTCCAAGGTTTGACCAAGGTAACAGTATTCAGTCTTAGTTCTCATAATGACTCCTTTTTATCAAGGATGCATAGAATAGTTGTGTGTATTACGATTTATTCTTGACCAAACTAATTGCCTATTTTTTTCTGAAAATGAAATGAAAAAAGAAAAGAAGAAATATTCCACATGAAATACCCAATTCCATAATTCCAAGGTTTGACGAAGGTAACAGTATTCAGTCTTGGTTCCGATAATGCCCTTCTTTAACCAAGGATGCATAGAATAATTATTGTGCATATTACGATCTCTTGACTAAACTAATGGGCTTATATCACAAAAAAAATGTATTCCATAATTCGATAGAATTCACCCAAACTAGCTCACCACCGCAAACCGTTTATCGCTGTGAGCTCCCTACGTTTTATAAAAAAATATTGAAATCCCCGATTTCTCGGACCTCTGAAAACGAGGCGATGATGTGACGTCAAAACCCTAATACTGAAACAGGACTATTCCAGACAGAGATGAATGATACATGCTTTCTGGCAGAGTGAATTAGCGCGAGATCACAGTTGAAAGAATTAATATATCAGTTGCCTCAGTCTCCGTCCGGCGTTTGGAATTTTCTTTTAACTATGGCGAGATGAGGTTTCTACGTCATAAGAGGGTCCGTTTTCAGATGGTACTATTATTTATGTCCAAAAATTGAACATTCCAGTAAATTTTTCGATCGAATTATGTCGTCAATCATTATTTATGTATGAAAGGATCATTATAAACATGGTTTGAGTTAAAAGTTCTACCAAGGTGTACACGCCCATTGCATATTATTTCCTGAAAATGAAATGAAAAAGAAACGAAAAATTAACATTCTACAGGAAATACCCAATTCCATAATTCCAATAGTTGACGAAGGTAACAAATCCTTTCAGTCTTAGTCCTGATAATGTCCTTCTTTTACCAAGGAAAGAGTTTAAAATAATATTACATGTTATGAAACATCCTATTCGGAGGGTTAATATAGGTAGGTAACAATATTAGGTAGAGGTAGGTACCTGATTCCACCCCTTATGAAGAATTCTCTGCAAATTGAAGGATAAGCAGGGTTCGAGAATATCAAGTTCATAGCATTTTGAAATTTCCTCGCCCATCTATCTAGGAGTGGTAATTCGGGTGGAATAGAATATTCGAAACATGTTGAAATAGAAAAAGTTTATTCAATGATTGGAAATATTCGACAAGAAATTGAGAAGGTAGAAGTGGTACAGGGTGTGCACGTGAATATATACCAAAGAAGGGAAGTGTTGTATTTCGTGCAAGATAATTTATTCATTTATTACTCGTAGCAGAGCGCTTTCGACTGTCAAGTCATCATCGGTGCATACTCGTCAGGTTAACAAGGAAAAAATACCTCTGGTCCAGTTTAAAACTATATCGACATTGTGGTAAAATACGGTACAAACATAATTATTAAAATATGTTTCCCAAAAGAGGGAAAAATACAGATTACATTTTGTTAAGCAGCCATTGTCGCTGCGACATATCGTGTTGAAGTGAACTTGATGAGACTCAAAATCATGAATTGAATATCTTACTAAATCATATAGAGAATCCGAAAAATTTATTGAGGACTTCGGCAAAAGAATAAGGCGCACGTTTCGGACCACATGAGAATTCAAGGGAGACTATCCGTAAAGTTTTGAAAAAATATAAATTCAGACCTTATAAATTTTATACGGAACAAAAATTGACAGAGATTCATAGAAATCAAAGACTGAATTTTTGCAACTTGAATAATGATAGAAAGTTCTTCAAACATATATTATGTACGGATAAATCAAGTTTTTCTACAAGCGGTCTGCCTAAAATAGACAGAATTCCAGATACTGGGCATCCGAAGACGAAATGTAACTATCGCATGGCCTTCAAACAGCCCAGATCTAACGCCTATAGACAATTTTCTTTGGGGATATATCAAGAATAAAATTCATTAACGGGATCTGAATAATTCTGATGATATCAAATATTTCATTAGATATGAAGTGAATATGCTGAATGAAAGACATGCCCATTTTATAGAAAATGCTATAAACCAATTACAGAATTGCTACGAAGAATGAGTTCAGAACGGGGATGGAAATATTAGTTGTGATCAATAAATTTGTTATTTTGTTTTTGTTAATTTACAGAAATTAAATCAATATTACAATTCTGACTTTCAGCGCCTACTTACTGTCAATGAGTATTGATAATATCATAACGATATTTTAATTATCTAGATTCATTGTCACAGCATACTTTCAAAAATCATTTGAGGATCGATAAACACATTTTTTTCAGGTTAGACTGCCCTTTTGCCGTTAATTCTTGACTTCTCTTGCAGAAAACTAGGATTGGATCTGGTACCTCGACAAGGTGCCAATATGGTAGAACCCGACTCAATGTCGGTGGTAGAATTATATCATGTGCATGTGTCCAGTGCTGAGAATACACAAGGTGTATCAGTAAGTAACTCAAAATATCCGATTCCATCTTACTACAATTCACAATGAATGGAAGGCATCTTATTGTGATTTTTTTTCATTCATTTATATCGAGAATGATTTCAGGCAAGGGGGACAATAAAAAAGAAGGAACAAAAGAAGACCCTGACTCACCACCTGTATTTTTGCATGAGGGATTTTGGTCACCATATTGGTGAAGACACCGAAATATATTTTTCATTGTACGACTCTTGCAAACAAAAGTATATAACCGAACGTTTCCTAGTCAAAATTTCCAAAGATGGTTTTTCGAATTACGTAGATAAACTGCACAGCAATTGCACTGTGTTCACAGTAAGTGAATGAAATGAATGGGGAAGTTTCCTTCAGTTGAATTTTCATGAAATAGGTCCGGGACTTCTCAGTTTTATGTCCACGCTCTGCAAAATGGCGATCGATCAAGTCCAAGTCGTTTTTATTCTCAAAATAAAGCAAATTTCTAATTTTCGGGGCGACACTGTGACGTACATACAGTGTCATTCATAAAGTCGTCATCATATGGGAAAAACTTTTATTAATGACTTATTTTGGATTTCGAGTTGGACGTTATGTTTTGCTTCAAAAAAGATGAAAAATGGCCTACTCAATCAGGGTCACGTGACTTTCGTTACATGTTAAAAGTGACATTTTTTCAAATTAACCGCTGAAAGTAGGCTTATTTGTTCGAATATCGAAAAAGTTTACTTGAAAAGGTTGTTTCAATTTCAATTTTACACATGCTTCTTGAATTTGATCTTTCTATTGCAACTTTTAGATTTTTATGTTTTTTTTTAATTTTTCGAAATTTCTGTAATATTTGAAGAATTGTTAATTCCACGAAACTACTTCATACCATTAGCTTTTTCATGCTACTTACTTTCAATTACTTTCTATCACTGATTATGGACAGAAATATGATTTTCTTCAGAAAATGATAATACCCGCTTCCAAATTCTGTTATGTTTGATGCAAAGTTGATATATCGTCAAGCATTTAGAAACGAAATTCATTTAAACTGATCTTTTCAGTACTGAGAAGATAAATTCAAATGAATTTCGTTTCTGAATGCTTGACTCAAACATAACAGAATTTTGATGTTATGTTTACATCAAACATAACAGAATTTTGAAGCGGAGATTATCATTTTCTGAAGAAAATCATATTTTTGTCGATAATTAGTGATAATTAGTAATTGAAAGTTAGTAGCATGATGAAACTACTGGTATGAAGTAGTTTTATCGAATCAACAATTTTTTTAATATTACAGAAATGTCGAAAATTTAAAAAAAATACCGAAATCTAAAAAAATTTATAGAAAGATAAGATCCGAGTCACATATGTAAAATTCAAATAGAAACATCTTTTTCAAGTAAACTTTTTCGATATTCGAACAAATAAGCCTACTTTCAGCGATTAATTTGAAAAAATGTCACTTTTGACATGTAGCGAAAGTCACGTGACCCCGATTGAGTAGGCCATTTTTCATCTTTTTTGAAGCAAAACTTAACGTCCAACTCGAATTTCAAAATGAGTCATTAATAAAAGTTTTTCCCATATGATGCCGACTTTATGAATGACACTGTATACAGGGTGGGACATTAGTGCGAGGGTCAGGATCACTTTTTCAAATGGAATGCCCTGAATATTAGCACACTGGATTGGGCTCTTATTGTTGTTGTTATAATCTGAGGTTATAATGATTTATTCATGTGAGCTTTTAGGGGTATCCGGCAAAATTTTGGGATGATGATCTTATCATATTATTGACGAAAATGAATATTTGTTTCATTGTAAATAGGTACGTAGCGAATTGTTTAAATTTTTTTTAATGTGAAGTATAAGTAAGTACCTAGTTTCTATCTATGATATATTTTTGTTCCACATGATGAATTTTTTCATTCAATATATTAATGCCAAACAAGCAGCCAAACATGGAAATAACCAATAGGCAATAATAAAAAAATACAGCTGACAAACTGACATCTGTCAAGCTTTACAAGTAAACCGCGACGTCATAATGAAGTTAACCTGGTTTGTCTGGTTAGGTTCGATGAAAAATTACTTATACAGGGTATATAAATAACACCGAGAAAATTCAAGGGGTGATTCCTCGTGATGTTCTAGCAAATAAAGTTCTTATATACATGTGTCCTAACTTGTTCCGGATTTGAGATACAGGATGTTGAAGTTGGAAGTATTAATTGATTTTATTTATAAGCCCCCTGTATAAGCTTTCATGGTTGGAGACTGGTTTGGTTGGTTTCCGGAAATTGTTCTTTGAATGCATGATAACTATATCATAACAGCAATGAAATATAATAGGTTCTTCAATCCTACTTTGTCAAGTATTATAAATGATTCCCATATAAATCTCTCAAAGTATCTATAATTTTTCACTATTGTTATATTACAACTTGTCAGTCATTTTTTGCTAATGAATTAGTTCCTTGATAAAACGGATCTACTTACTAAGAAAGTTGCAGATTATAATATTATTATAACACCGCCTAATACTTCTTTATACTACGTTCACACCACTCAAAATACTGACAGGCACAACAAGAGGAAGAAGCCATGGGTGTCGGCTTCATTATGTTCTGACCGATGGCAGGAAGTTAGGAAGGATAGTATCATTGAATGTAGCCGATAGTGATTCATTGATTCAATGATATTTTCGTTTAGGATCGAGCTCTATTCGAGATATTTCAATGCATAAATAAGAAAACCATGACCTGTCAGAATGAAGCCAACTACCTTCTGCATTCTTGCTCTGAGTGCATTTGTGGTTATGTATGTTTTTGTTTACCAGTTTTACTTCTATTTTTTCATTCGTTAGCTATTCGCTAGCTATATTCTTCACCATCAGCTATTTTTAGACTAGATTCAGAATGTTCGTCACAGTTTGCTGCCCCGCAAATTAGAAATTGATTTAATTTGAAAGTGAAAACGACTCGGGCTTTATAGGTCGCCATTCTGTAAAGCGTGGACATAAAACTGGAGAGTTCCGAACTTATTTCATGAAAATTGATCTGAAGGAAACTTTCCCATTCATCCATTTAATTTTTCTTAGGAATTGGGGAGTGCAGAATTAATCAAAGATGTATACTTAGTTGCTCACATTATGAGGATTGGCAAAATGCTGTATTCTGATAGTTCAAAAAAGACTGATAAGGCTGTTGCTCAACAACAGATATTCAAAAGGCCTCACGGGGTAGCTGTGCAAAACTTAGGAGATTATTTAACTAGTAAGGAAGGTGATACAGAAGAAAAGGAATTCAGCATGAAGGTAAAATTACACCTGGGAGAATTGTGCCTATGTGCCTAGGCCTCAACGTCCTACCACAACACTCATCTCATGCATCCAAATTGAATGTTGATCCAAGGAAACTGTTCTCATTTTTTGTACTTCATACTCATATAGTAGAGATGGCTATCCTGAATCGATCTTTTTGTCTAAAAAAAAACGATTTTTTTAGATCGATCCTCTTTTGTTCGATCTTTAGGTGAATCGTTTTTTTCACATAAAATCGAATCGAACAAAAATGCACACTGAATGAAATATTTGACTATAATGAGGAACAAGTTTTTTCACTCAACCAAGAGAGCTATCCGAATAAAATGAGGAATTATTAATGTTCTTGTAAAGTTGGTTGGTAATTTTTTCAGGAGTCAAGATCTTTTTCACACTTCTTCATGTATATTGTTGAAAATTTTCTATGATCTAATCGAGTATCGATTTGACTGAATATCGATTATTTGCCTTTCGATATTTTTATAGATCGATTTTTTCTCTTTCGATCTAGATCGATTCTAAGAATCGAAAAAATGGTTACGTCAGTTTTTATGCCGTCCTGTCGTTGAATAAAACAGGAGATGAAACAAAATATAAGGAAGCCATGATATATAGTTAATTATTTACTTTTCCGAGCATCCAGCATGTCTAAATATCTTATACTCCATAACAAAATATCATGTTGATGTTGAAGACTTGGCAACAATGTGCTGAGTGCTGAGAAATGACAAGGCACCGCCCACAATTCGTGATACCGTGTTGTCACATATCAAACAGACAAAAAGCTAACATTGAAGAACAACTGATAAGGAATCGGCAAGTCACTCAATGGTATTAAATAAATTCATAATAAGGAAATTATGACGCGAATTCCTTAGGGGGGGGGCATCATAGGCACATTTCCCCTACAAAATTGCATTTTATTGAGGTTTCCTATTTTTTTCAGGTGTTCCAAGGTGAAGAGAAGGATTTCTTTCAACTTCACGAATTTATAATTAGACAAACAGGAAAATATAGCCCGCTATCGACTCACGTCAATTACGGCATAATGATCTCCGTGAAAATATTACACGGCGAGTTGCGAATGATAAAAGAAGAAAACCCTTTGCTGTTCAAAAACGTTAATTTGACCAGCAAACTGGGTTTTCCGGATGTGATAATGCCGGGGGATGTCAGGAACGACCTGTATCTGAATCTGGATAAGGGAGAATTCGAGAGGGGTGGAAAGTCTACTGGGAAGAACATTGAAGTGTCCATAGTTGTCCTTGACAGCGAAAAAAATATTATAAAAGTAATAAAAACTCTATTTTTGGCACATTTCTGAACTTTAGATTGATGATTCATTTTTTTAGCTCAAGTTGAAAGCTTCACGAAAAGGTTTTACTTGCAGCTGTTAAATATTAGTAATTGTTTTGCGTACCTTGGGATTTTTGTTTACTGTGTTTTTTACCTGCAATTTCAAACTTTGATCCATTGGGGCTGGTTCTATAGACATATATAGGGTGTCCCACTTGATATGGGTTGCTCTAAATCCATATTCGAAATTATTTCAAAGTTTAAGTATACTGGAAGTAGTTAACAAGTTCCTAATTTTAAATAAAACACCCTGTATTTTATTGAATTTTCAGAATCTTCCTGAAGAGCTGATTTCAACCACATTTGGGGTCTAGCGGAAAAAATTACAGAGATGTGGTGTTCAAAATCGAGATTTTTCAACTTTATTATTGTGTCGAAACTATTCATTGTTGGTCATAACGGCTTACATGTTCCATCTCAATTTTTGATTGACTATCAATTGATATTAAATTGGAATAGATAGAGAGTAATCAGAATTCTGAATTCTGAACCACCCTGTATTTGTTTCAATTAACTGTCAGTATATACCTAGTACTTAAATCAAAATTTAATCATTTTCGCTAGACCCCAAGTGTGATACATCGATGAAATCAGATCTTCAGGGAGAATATGAAAATACAATAAAATACAGGGTGCTTCATCTGAAATATGGAACTTGTTAACTACTACCGGTATAACCAGAAGTCCATCATGTTTGAAAATAATTCTAAAACGTGGAGGCCAGTATTTTTTGCATCTGACGTCGAAATTATTTTTAGAAATTTTATTATTGCGAATGGTACAGAGCAATCCATCTCAACTGGGACCCCTGTATATCATTGTGATCTGTGGTGTTGTAGCATTGCCAAAGAAAATTCATCAAGAAATATAGATTCAGGGCAAAATCGTGTTTTCATCCAATTTCCTACACAAATCGTGCAACGTTGCCAAACTTGAGAAACAAATTTGTAGTAGCAGAAGTCAATTCAATTAACAAAAACTACATCAGTAAAATGCAAGTTCTATGCGTTTTCTAGCTATTGTGACAGATCTTTTCGTGTAGCTCTTGACTAGAACTAAAAAAATTACGCTGTCGATTCAAATTTCAGTAGATAATAACGAGTTCATTGAATTACAGAATTGTCTGTGGGGAGCTACAGGCATGGAATCATCTTCCGAATATAATTCGATGATCATTTACCACCATAACTCGCCTGCATGGGCTGAAAACGTTAGATTAACTTTACCTATCGACAAATTTGCCGGAGCTCATGTTAGACTAGAATACAGACATTGTTCTAGTGAGTATACAAGTTTTATAAACCGGGTGTCAACGAATTCATTAGACTAGCCATCTCTACCAGAGTGCCAAAGATATGATATTTCATACTGCTCATCACTTAGGGTTTCTCGTAAACGACCCCAACCTTGGGTTTTTAAATATGATACCCGTATTTGGCGCCACGTTGGGCGCCAAAATTCAGGTAAATAGGCAAATCAAGTAAAACATGTTCCTTATGATGATCCCTAACTGATTATGGAATAAAGTACACGGTGTCTTCTTGAAAAATGGAAACTTGGAGTTGTTTCCGTTGATACCAGAAGTGATGGAAGAGTATGATATATCGAAAAATTTGACAATTATTATCCAATACCCCTGTTATGTTTGAACTCTACAAACCATGGCTTGTCTAATGACACCCAGTATGGACAGGTTGATTATCAGTCATCCTCGGAATTATTTCACCTACTTTGGATTATTATGTTTCCGAATCTTCCAGCTAGAGAAAAAAACGACAAGAAACTTTTCGGTTTCTCATTCATTCGCCTGATGGACAAAGATGGCGCAGCCGTTCAAGATGGCCAACACGACTTGTTTATTTACAAATGTGAGGATGCCCAAAAACTCGAAAATTGCGGATATTTGTCTTTGCCTGCCTTCGCCAAAGACTACGAGGGCAATCACGAAGCTAGCGGACAATTTTCTAGAAGTCAAAAAGAAATGATAATCATAAGAACTTTATTGTGTTCCACGAAACTAACTCAAAATGGTGAACAATCTGCAAATACATTACATGTTCTCTTTGGTAAACATTTTTTTTTTCAGTGGATTTACTTGCACTTTTGAGATGGAAGTCTCATCCAGAAAGGATCCAAGAGTCTCTGCAAAGGGTCTTGAGACTGGGAGACGAAGAACTCATCAAATTTCTTCAAGACGTTCTTGATGCCTTATTTGCGTTGTTTTCAACTGAAGATGGAAATTCTACTGCACACAGCGGTTTAGTTTTTCACGTGTTGGTGTCCATATTCAATCTACTGGACGGCTCCAAATATCAACATTTCAAACCAGTGCTTGACGCCTACATAAAGAATCATTTCGCAGCTGCTCTCGTTTACAAGTAAGCGAAATTATAATCCAACGTATATACAGGGTGTTTGGTTCACCGACCTATTTCTGATAGGGGGTGATAGGTAAGAACATTTTGAACACATTCAACCATATATACTATTATACAAAGTGTTACGCATTTCGAGATATCTTCTATCCAAATTTCACTGCATTCGATGAATAGGTCCATATAAGTTGTATTGAAAGTTTTGGCAAATATTTTAAAAGGTGATTCATCCATATTGAACATGTTTTGGCTCGTTGGGGTTTGAAAAAACGATTCACTGTAACATCCAACTTCGAATTTATGAGCGAAAAGTGTAACGCTTTGTATAATAGTATATTTGGTTGAATATGTTCAAAATTACATAACCTACCACCTCCTTCCAGATAGATATACGTCGGTGAACCGAATACCCTGTACGAGACATTTTGTTTTTTTGTAAAAAATTGTTTACATACAGTATCTTTCAGAAAATTGACATCATATGGGAAAAAACTTTTGATTGCTTTCTAAAAGATGAAAAATTACTTATTCGGTCGAGGTCACGTGAAAATGGGCTTATTGATAAATCTCTAGCTGATTGAGGAATGAAATACAGGGTGTCCCATTTTAAAAAATCAACTAGTACCATGTAGATCGCTTGTCCGATGTAGCGCAAAAAAATATGAAAAATCATAGAGGGGTGGACATTTATGGTGAATCACCCTGTAAAATTATTGCAATTTTTAGATTTTGAATTTTTTTAATTTCTACGAAATTTGTGATATCAAAAAAAAATGTTGACGTCAACCAAACTGGTTCTTAAAAGTAACTTTATTAACCTACTAACTTTAGATTTATTATTATTGATAAAGCTAGGATTTTCTTTGAAAAAGAATAATACCTCACTAAAAAATTCTGTTATGTTCGTAGCAAAGTTCATATATCGTCAAGCATTTATTAGCTAAATCTATTTCAATGGATTCTCTCAGTATTGAAAAGATGCCAAAGTCATCAAAATCGAAATATCATCAATTTACTTTACATACCGAAACAAAGTTTAGGACAGTTTGGTTGAAGTTACAACATTTTTAATATCAATATTTAGAAATGAAATAATATCGAAAAAGTTGCAATAGAAGGTGCACGTTTGAGACACGTGTGTAAAATCGGGAAAAAAGAAATAAGCATTTTTTTAGCTATTTAGATATTCGAAAAAAATGTATCGTAAGTCACGTGACTCCGACAGAGTAGGCCATTAATCATCTTTCTCAAGGCAAAACTCAACGCCCAAGCCAAATTTCTAAATGAATCACTATCAAAAGTTTTTCCCATATGATATGATGCCAAATTTCTGAAAGACCCTGTAGATGAAATGTTGAATTTTCAGGGGTTTACTTACTAGCGTACAACACTGTGCGGACTGGGTAGAATCCTTCGAAAAGCAGGAACCCATCCAGAAATGCTTCAAGAGTTTAGAGTACATTTTCAAACTGATCATCCAGAGCCGGCTGCTTTTTTCTCGTGCCACCGGCGGCCATTTTGAGGACAGCTTCCGAAAAGATTTGTTCACCGTTTTCGGATCTTTGAACAAAATGCTAACGATCAACAACAGCCACATTATCAATACTCAGGTGGCTCTGCTTTTGGCCATCAGTTCGGTTTACGAGCAACTTACTGAAGTTATACCGACTTTGGAAGTAAGTAAGCTCGCTTCCAATATGCTTGATTCGTTACCGAAAGATTTGCCCAATATCATGGTGCAGGCTAAACTGTCTTGCATCAAGAACATGATGACTAGCAAACTATTCCAAGATGATGGTGAGTGAATTTTGTTTTTTTGAAGACACAGAAAGTAGACTCATTGATTCAATGTGACTTCATATAGCAATTTTTTTAAATCATATTTTACTCACAAATACCATATCAGAAATGGAAACAAGATAAAGAACTCCACAATATAGACGGTTATGATACACACTTCTAGGGTGATTGACTATACGATTTCAAAATCTGATATCTCGAAAACGAAAAATGTAATTTGAAATTTGGAAATAGGGTATGTGACAGCATTTTTTTTCAAATGGGACCTCTTGTATATTATCGTATTTTAACTGTAACGTCAGCGACTGTCAGCTTTTTTAAATGGCATCATATATGTTCTTTTTATGTTCGACAGACTTTCTCTGAATACAGTGATATACCACAAGTTACCTTCTGGGCAAAATTGGTTGAAATAAAAAATAAATGAACTGGTGACAATTCATTAGTGTATTGTTAGCGACGATGTTCAAATCACCCCGTAAATGAATAGAACGCCTAAGGAATGCCTTATCACAAGCGGGCGATTAATCGGTTTCGTAATCATCATGCGATTGGTAATTCAAGGGGACTTAGTCATTATCATCATAGTATCAGAACGGGGTGGTCGTCGATATTGTGAATCAATGTGTTTGAGTATGGAAAATGTGTTCATCTACGATTTTTCAGCTTAGAATCAAACGGTATTGTTTTACAAGTGACAATTATTTTGTTATTCCGATCTGAATCGATAGTTTATTCACAAAATTCTTGTATCTTAAAAAAATGCATTGATAATTTCCTTCTAGGTATCATACCACTGATGAGACAAATATTACGAAAATGTTCACAATGTAGATGTTTATGATGAACACTTCATGAGAAAGTTCTATTACATCTCATTAGATCGAACATTTCCACCTATACTGAAAGTGGCTCTGAAATGAATTGAATTCAAAGTTTCTTTCAGGCATCATATAATTTTGTGTAGCCAAAAATTATTATATTTATAAAAAGTTATTTCGTCATTGTTACTATGGTAACCAGCAAATTTTTTGGATATTTTTCATCTACATGAGCATGTTGACGTAAAATAAATTAGTGGAAATTTTCTGGCATATGACAGCTATCATATAATTAGACAAAATCAGAGAGAGTAAATATTCACTTAATGTTTTCTTTTTGAATATAATTTCGGTATAAAATTTTCTGACCGAATCTTCCAGGTGCTTGAATTAGTTGCGGGAAAATTGTCTCGTACTCAAAAAATGTTCAGCAATAATTCATTCCCTAAGAGAATGATTAATGAAAATTGAATTAGTGTCAAAGTTTTCACAATATCTGTTTCCATATTCTTGTTTTTTTGATAGTTTTCATCTAAACTGAAGAATATAGGCAAAATATTTGGTATCCACACGTGCAAATTGTTATTTCCACTTGTTTTCAGAATCCAGGAGTATCCTCCTGATGACAGCTTGCAAACACTTGAGGTATCATTTGACAAGAAGAGATGACCTCAAGCTTTGCACAGATATCCTCGGAGAAATCCTAGGATTCCTTTTCAAGCAGAGAAAATCGTGTGATGAACAAGGAAAGATAAACAATTGCATCCACCATGACGTCGATACGTTGTGTGTATCGGTATTGGAAGTTCTTATACAAACCATACTCACTTCCATCGATAAGGACGTCAAAGTATTTGTAAGTGAAACTGAGTTTACGGCCATTCTGTAAGTATATCATCGATTGGACTCGTTTCAGGGATGCCTGGTTGCTTCTTTGATAGGCATATTGCAGTTACTGGACGAATTTCACTACAAAAGACTTTGGGAGACCTTGATGGGTCCCCATCAAGACAGGAAACCCCTGAAAGATTTTCTGCTCAGGGCGTTCTTAGTGTTTAGAAATCTCGTCCGTATGGACGTGTATCCTCCTGATTGGCTGGTCATCAAAATGTTGACCAATAACGTTATACTCAAGGCTCTTCAAGAGTTCGCTCAACCGTTGGCTTTCAAATTCCTCGATAGTCGAGCTGGATATTTCGATAAAGAAGTGGGTTTCGTTTTGTTTTCTTTAAGGCAAATTAAATGGTTGATCAATTTCAGTTGTGGACAAACTATTTCAATCTATCAGTGGATTATTTAACTCAAGAGTCTCTACAGCTTGAACAGTTTTCTGATGTGAAGAGGGAGAAAGTTATAGAGAGGTATGGAGACATGCGGGTTTTGATGGGTTTCCAAATATTATCAATGTGGTCTCAACTGGGTAGGTGTTTTCTATGTTCATCTACTTGATGTATCATTTTTGAAAATTTTCTATTCTTAGGGGAATGTAAATTGAGTTTCATACCATCGATGGTGGGTCCGTTTCTTGAGGTTACTCTCGTTCCTGAAATCGAACTGAGGAAAGCCACTTTACATATTTTCTTTGACATGATGGAATGCGAGCAGAAAGCCAAGGGAAACTTCAAGCAAGTGGAATGTGAACTCATCGATAAGCTCGATATACTAATTTCTGAAAATAAGGGAGACGACGAGTACAGGAGATTATTCAACACCATGTAAGTGTTTTCAACGGTTTTATTTGAATACGAAAATATACCCATGATATTACGATATTATTCAGAAAATTGTCGCATTTCTTCCGTGATTCACTTCATAATATCTTTCGAAATATACTCGAAAAGTTACCAGACAGAGTTACTGTAGATATTGGCGATATTTCTTTATACATAATCATTTCACGGTACATAGAGCGGGTCAACTCAACATCGCATCATAGCAAATCAAAAAGTTTGGAACAAGAGAATCATGGTTAATGAACTGAATTTTATTGCGATCAATGAACATACTTTCAGAACTGTTCCAAAATTATAAGAGTGACTAGTCTCCAAAATATGATCAAAAAACTAAATTTATCAGAATCTGATGTGATCAGTATGTTCTTCAAATCGTGTTCCTTTGCTTTGACGTGTTTGCCCAATATATTTAATGTTACACTCATCACAATTCATTTCATGTTCAATTTTCCCGATTATAATCTCATTAATGTTCTTGAACCCAAAATTTTACGATATTACTCAGAAAATTGTATTTCTCCCGTGATTCAGACTGACTGTAGATATTGGCGATATTTGTTTATAAATAATCATCACGGTACAGAGAGCGAGTCATCTCAACATCGCATTATAGCAAATCTAAAAGTTTGGAACTAGAGAATCATAGTTAATCAACTGAATTCTACTGCGATTAATGTAAATACTTTCAGAACTGTTCCAGAATTACCTATAAGAGTGACGAGTCTCCTAAATATGTTTGAAAAAACTAAATTTATCAGCTATTATATATGAAGTGATCAGTATGTTCTTCAAATCGTTTTCCTATGCTTTGACGTGTTTGACCAATATATTTAATGTTACACTCATCACAATTCATTTCATTGATCAATTTTCCCGATTATAATCTTATTAATGTTCTGCAACTCCTTTTTGCCTACACAAGGGAACATCTAAGTGCAGTGTAAGTCGATATACTTCCATTATATTCAATGTTGATTTTATACACCTAGTTCGATTTTTGTTTTTGTGGCACTATTTTTGCATGATTTAAATTTTTGAAGTTCGAATGTGGACCTATCCCTGAAGGATCTCACCCATCATATATATTCGTTTTCCTATTGGTTTATTGACTATAAAATATAAATATTGAGCTCTTTGTTAGTTTATTGGATAGAGTGCAATCCGAGGATCCCACATGGAAAGACAGTGGAGCAGCTTTCATTAGCTCAATCACTCGTCTCTTAGAGAGGCTGTTGGATTATCGAAATGTCATTCAAGGGGACGAAAATAGAGATAAAAGAATGTCTTGCACCTTCAATTTATTGGTATGTCGATGAATCGACCCAAAAGAGGCTTCTCGTCAGGTGATTTATCTGATTTCAGAATTTCTACAAGAACGAATTCAACAGGAAAGAAATGTATCTCAGGTACATTTATAAACTTCACGATTTGCATCTTTCTGCTGAAAATTTCACTGAAGCAGCATTCACATTGAAACTTTATGCTGATCAGTTGACCTGGACGAGTAATCCAGTGAATGATCCGAATTACCCGAATCACACGGAATGTCAAGTCAAAGAGATATTGTATAGACAAATCATCAATTATTTTGATAAGGGAAAAGTAGGTATAGCAATCTATCGGTAATTCAAATGTCAACATTGAAAGTGTTTATGGTCGATGGTTTGAACAATCTTTCGCAGTGAGTTCATTCTATGAGATATTGTAACCAATCTACTCCATGATATGTCGTACCAGTTCACAAACTATTTGAATTTCATTGAATTACATTTTTTGCTCTTCCAATTTATTCATATCAATGTATTTGTTGTCAACATTTTTTTCGACTCCTCGCTATAAACATTTTCAGCGTATAGTTTGATCATATTGTGTATATATTTCTTCGGTTTCTAGTGCTGGGAGAAAGGAATACCCCTTCAAAAAGAGTTGGCAAACCTTTATGAAAACTTATTCTTCGATTACAAACTACTGAGTGACATGCTTAAATACCAAGCGAGATTTTTCGATAACATTCTAACCCAGCTCCGTCCTGAGCCTGAATATTTTCGGGTCGGCTTTTACGGGCTAGGATTTCCGTTGTTTGTGAGGGTGAGTCGGTGTTATTTTCAATGTCAAGAAAAAATAATGTTCGTAAACTTGTGGTTATTGAGTTTTCTCGTTCATCAATGACTGAAATCGTTTCAATTTTTAGAACAAACAGTTTGTGTATAGGGGACTGGAGTATGAGAGAATTGGTGCCTTTACACAAAGATTGCAAACTGAGTTTCCTTCTGCTCAGATCCTTATGAAAAATACTCCACCAGATGACACTATTATCAACTCGGATAGCCAATGTATCCTTCCAAATGAAATATTGTGTCTATTTTTTTTAATTGACTCGGCCGTTACTTGATGGAAATCCATTGGAAATGTAAATAGTTAATAATAATTGTTCGTTTTTATATATCATTCTAACATCATTCAGTAATCAGTCAATTCCCATATGAATTCGTCTATTCATTTTTAGAATGATAGTGCATTCACAGGTTATCAATGATGAGGCTTCTACAAAAAATTCATAATGTAGACGGTTATGATGGATACTACATGTAGAAATTATATGTTATCGTATTGTGTGATCAACAGTTCTTATCATTTTCAAATTAGTTTGTTAAAGATGGGAATATTGATAAAATTTCACAATCTTGACGGTTATGATTGTCACTTCATGACTAATTTCTATTGTGTGTAATCGGAAGTGTAATATTGATAAAATTCCACAATCTTGACGGTTATGATTGTCACTTCATGACCAATTTCTATCTTGTGTAATCGGAAGTGTATGATATGCCTATATATCGATGTAATTTTGTACTATAGGCACCTATGTAACGAAATGACACCCAGATATCAATTCAATAGCAACAAGTAATTTGTCAAACTATCGATATATCTGAAGAAATCATCCAAATCCGTGTTCGAGTTTTTTTTATATCCACCGGACTGGGTCTAAATCCAATAGCTAATTGATGGTGATACAATATTTTTCTTGACTATCGATCAGACATTCAAATTTGCAATGTCAAACCGATTCCAGAACCTAACCCAATCATCCTAGCTACCGATATCCCGGAGAAAATATCCAGGTTCTATCATTACAACGATGTAAAAAGATTTCAGTGCGACCGTCCAGTCCATAAAGGCATCATCGACAAAGAAAACGAGATTAAAGTAAGTCGAACACAAATCACGGATACATTTTTGTCAAACAATCGAGTTTTTTGTAGACTCTTTGGATAGAGAGGATGGTAATGGAAATAGCTAGCCCTCTACCTGGAATACTCAGATGGTTCGAAGTGGTCTGCCGGCAGACCGAAGAAATCCCTCCAGTTCAATTCGCTTGCGAAACCATGCGAAATGTGGAAAACGAACTCAGGCAGCTCATCAACGTGCATTCTCTAGACGCCAAAAGAAATTTGAATCCTTTCACTATGAGGCTGCAAGGAATAATCGATGCTAATGTCCAAGGAGGCATCAGCAAATACCAGCAAGCTTTCTTCACTAAAGAATTCGCTAAGCTTTGTCCCGAGCATAAAGTTCATGCCGAGACTCTGAAAGAACTCATTATAAACGCGACCAGGGTGAGTCACAAAAAAATATTTGGAAATTAACAATTTGATTCCCTTTCAGCTTTTTGAATATATCAGAGAACTGGATCTCAACTGAATAAAAGGAAGGCAAAAGTTCCATATCATCAACACAACTGATATTAGGATTCAGCCCAGATCGTTTAGTTATGAGATCTAGTTCTTGTTTGCTTTGACGATTCATAGTGAACCACCTCTTTGTAGGTTATTGAAGAAGGGTTGATTTTACATGGGAAATTGACTCCAGCTAGTGTCCAACCTCTCCATCAGAGGCTTTTAGAAAGATTCGGGCAGCTTAAGGAAAGTCTAGGGTCACTGAATCAACAGAATTCTAGCATTGTCAAGTGAGTTGTTGTGGCGGAATTTCAGTTTTCAACCCTTGATTCACTAACAAGACGATCCACCTGTAAAAAGTGTAAAATGCGATATTCCTTCTTCCATGAGAACATCTTAAAATAAACTGCCTTACTTAATAAATAGAATTTCTGGATTCATTGCTCTCATATGGATAGTTAGTCTTATTAGTGTAAATAATTAACGATTCAACCTACTTACAATAAATATTTTTTAGTACTCCTTTACCACCTTTACCGACAGACAAACATTTGATGATGGAGAACGGAAGCAACAGATCTTCAACGTCCAGTGGGAATTATGGACATCTCACTCTAGATTATGATAATATTTACTCTAAGCCTACGGTAAGGTTGTTTCGATTTCGATAATCAAGTTTTAGTGGAAGAATCTGCACAAAAATGTTATATATGTTATTTTTTTATGTGCGAATCAACTCTTTTTAGTGGTTGTGGTTATCCTTGAATCATTTTTTAGGATAGTGAAAGGCCATTGCTCAGTAGAGAGAACTTATCGCTCACTATGCCGACCAATAACGCGCCTCCTATTCCTCAGAGAGAGAACAGACCACGTTCTCAGGGATTCAGCAACGCCAGCTTTGTCGATTTCAGAACTCCCACTAGGAGCCATCTAGAATATAACAGTTCTAGCTTACCATCGATGAAGTCGAGGTAAACATTCCACTTCATCTTCACTCTACTTGTTTACTTCCAGTGACTAGGGTAGTGTCTATCACAGAAGTTCAAGTTCATTCATGCTCAGATCAAGACACTCTTTGATCGTATAAAAGCAGTTTTTTCAGTAAGAAAGCTCTGATTTTATTCTTAAATTGATAAAAGTTCAGGCACCTGACCTTAGAAGGTATCTTATTGTAGAGGTGCAGATTCACAGAGTTCCTTTTTGACATCTGTAACCTGCGCTTAAGTATTATAATCAAGTTGCCATTGCGAGTGGAATAACGGTGCAATTCGGTGCAATTCGGATTGAACCGTATAATTGTTTTTAGTCGAGTAAAGATTTATAAATAAAAAGTGTAGGAAGTGGCATAACTTGGAAATCCACAAACAGAGGGCGACAGTGCTCGCGAAAATGCACTTCTGCCATTACTCTAATAAATCTTTTTTGCAACATGACAACTTTATGAGAATGACAGGAGTTACCCCATAGTAAAATACCGTAAGATAAATTACTATGGAATAACCCATCTTTCGCTGCATTTTTTGTGCATTGTACAACAGCACAATGCGAAGGCATACTTGAATTAATGAATAGCGCAAATAACACGATTCGTATGCCAAAATATTGGGAAAAACTATTTCAATCTTTCGATTCCTCTGTAAACAAATAAAAAAGTGAGGTTGTGTTTCATTGGTTTCAATTTTGTAGGGATTCTGATCCGTGTGACGTACCTCTGCCGCCTAAACTGACGCACTCCCGAGAGAGGTCGCTGACGAAGCCGCCATCTCCGAGGCTGCTGAGACACGCGATATCCATGACGCCGACAGATGGCGCCTCGCCTCTGAGGAACTCCTGGCCGGAGACGGGAGGTATGGAGGAGGCCCCTCCTCTGCCTCCGAGGTCGCACAGTAAGTTATCCTCATTGAATTGTCATTCTTTTTCACTAATTCATCACTTTTTTTGTCGACCTCTACAAAAAGTCGTCCATTTTAATACCAAAATTAGCTCTTGAATTGACGTTTCTATTACTGACACAAAAACAGGTATGTTGCTAGCCAACAAATTTAGTTACTAGGAGCTAAAGTTGAACTTTAGTTCCTAGGAGCTAAAGCTGAACTTAATCTCCTAGGAAGTGAAAAGGATGTACTAGATGTTATCAAAAATAAACAATAGTGTTGCGGTTGGTTATTTGGGTTGGGACGCATACCTGATTTGTTTCCGATTTCGGCAGATTTGGCATTTCATACTCATGCTGGAGATATAAATACACCTTATTTTATAAGTAAGTATAGAAATTATAAACATATTAGTCAAGTATTTTTTTTTTTCATCAGGGAAGCCTTCAATATTTGACATAATTGCTTAATATGTATTTCATTCGTTATTCTCGGGATGGATAACTTGTTTTTGAATAACCACGGCCAGCAATAGGTTTTTGTTTCAAACAACGATATTGTTTACCTTCTTCTGATTATCAAGCCAAACACAGTGGAGTATGGAGGGAGATAAATAATCGCTATTATTATTGTTGATTGCTCACTAACCTAACATTTTCCACGTCTTGTTCCTATACCTGGCACTGGTGCGGTATTTGCCATTAGAGCACCTGGTCCATACACAAATATGTCACTCTGTGGTTGTATTTACATTGAAACTACAATTCGAAAATCCTTGAAAATTAAATAAACCTGCTGTTAGTGCAGGTTGAATATTCTCACCACACGGATTTTGTATTGACTCGTAAATTTTGCTTTCGCTCGGTTTCTCTAAACGCTACGCCTCGCAAATGCAAAATTCGCTTGTCAAACACAGTGTCACCTTTGATCCTAATAAAACAATTACTTTTTCCTACAACAACTGTCAAAATTACTACAGTTTTCAAATTCATTTTCTGTGCCTGAAGTTTACAATTTTTCAATAATACTGTCATTATTTTACGTAAGTTAATATCAAATTAATGTTAAGTTGATGTTGAGTTATTGTTAAGCTAATATTTAGCCAATGTTAAGTTAATGTTAAGTTGAGTAATGTTGAGGTAATGTTGAGTTAATGTTGATGTGATGTTAAGTTTATGTTAAGAGCTAATGTTAAGTTAATGTTGATTTGATGTTCAGTTAATGTGGATGTAATATATTAATTTGCAGCTCCGGACAAGCGGGTGCAAAGCCTCCCTTCTGACACGCCTCCCAACATCCCCAAGCGCGGCCAGAAGAGGTCGACGCCGTCGGTGTGCAGCACCGAGCACCTCACCATAGACGAGACTGATCCGAACTTGGCGAGTTCGACGACCAGTCTGGACGCGCCCAGGGACAATCACGAGCTGAGGGACTCCGGCATCAGCATGACCGAGCCGCAGCTGAACAACTTCAATCACGCTTGCTTCGAGGATTTCGATTTGGGGGCTCGGCAGACGGAGATGAACATTTACAAAAAAGGTGATTATCTATTTGTACAAGGTGTTGCTGAAATTCTAATATTTCGTATATAATATAATGTATGTGTATAATTAGTTATTTATTATACAAGGGAAAGAGTAATAGATTTTAGCTCCAGGTTGTGTTGTCTCCCGACGCGTGTGGAGGGAGACAAAAAACCGTGAGCTAAAATCTAATATTTTTCCCGTGTATAATACACTATTTTTTTCTGTGACAGGAGAAAGGACGAATCAATATTGGGAAGATATTACATTATTTTGAAATCTGAAAATTATCGACGTGAAATTTTGAGTTTTTAACAGTAGGGACACCTGCGTTCTAGGTATCTTTATCATTCTTTTGAAGTAATCAAATATCTGATGTCACTTCTGTCAGTCTAATTCTGTGATTTGATTTCAAAAAATTGCGAATTTAGTGGTTGTTTAGTAATTTACGTAACCGCGAAGTCGAATGGAAGATAAAAGGACTTGCAGTTCTTTCTCGGAGACGGTATTATTGACTCATTTTTCGGAACTATAGCACAACAAAAGCCATCAACAGCGCACCTATACAGGGTGATCCACGGTGGATGGCTTTTGTTGTGCTATAGTTCCGAAAAATGAGTCAATAATACCGTCTCCGAGAAAGAACTGCAAGTCCTTTTATCTTCCATTCGACTTTGTGGTTACGTATATTACTAAACAACCACGACTAAATTCGCAATTTTTTGAAATCAAATCACAGAATTAGACTGACAGAAGTGACATCAGATATTTGATTACTTCAAAAGAATGATAAAGATGCCTACAACGCAGGTGTCCCTACTGTTAAAAACTTAAAATTTCACGTCGATAATTTTCAGATTTCAAAATAATGTAATATCTTCTCAATATTGATTCGTACTTTCGTCTGTCACAGAAATAAATAGTGCATTATGCACGGAAAAATATTAGATTTTAGCTCACGGTTTTCTGTCTCCCTCCACACGCGTCGGAACTCAACCTGGAGCTGAAATCTACAACTTTATTTCCTTGTATAATAAATAACTATTTTTCAGTACTAAAATGATGCCAAACTCATATATCTGAATATCATTGAACTACTTCACATATGTAAAGCAAAGTTTAGGAAAGTTTTGTCGAAGTTACAATTAGAAGAAATCAAAAAATACCAAGAACTAAAAGTTGCGATAGAACGTTCAAATTCGAAACAAATGTGTAAAATTGGAATAGAAACAAATTTTGTGGGTAAACTTTTTTGAAATTCGAGCAAATAAGCCTATTTTCAGCGATTAATTTGAAAAAATGGAACTCCTGACATGTAGAGCGAACGTCACGTGACCCCGACCAATTTCATTTTTCATCTTTTTTGAAGCAAAACTCAACACCCAAGTCGAATTTCCAAATAAATGATTATCAAAAGTTTTTCCCATTTGATGCCAACTTTATGAACGACACTGTATAATTCAGTGGATGAGCTCTTGGACTATCAGTATTTTTGGATTCTAGTCCAATAAATAAAGGAGCAAAAAGGCAAAGTTAACGTTAATTACGCACTATTTTCATCTTCCGGTTGGAAGTAGCTTTTGGTACCTCATTAAACATGAGACAAAGTTTGACTGGAAAACGCGTGCGATGGCGGAGAAAATGGCCCCAAAAGACCATAAAAATAGGTTTTCAGCCAATATCTCCTAAAATATGGCAGTTAGAGATTTTCGGTTCAGATAAAAATTGAAGTTCAGTTAATTTTCTACAAAAATGGTCCTTATCATTTTTCTCGAAAAGTTGCCCGGTTTCTAGAAAAACGGCACGAAGCGCACCTCGAATAATGAGCTTCTGTTGTATGCCGGAGAGCACAGTCCGTGTATTTACTCATCGGCGGGGGGACAAATTATTCAATAACTTTGTTAAAAATCCATATTTTCTCATGATTCAAAGTTCATGTGAAAGAGGAATTCTGCTGCTATCGTACCCTGCGTGGCCGCATGGTTTGTAGCAGACGACTCGAGCGCCACGTAGAGCACACACGCGGCGAACGACGGAGGAACGAAAGTATTAAATTATAGCGTGTACATTTAGATATACTGGTTTTTTCCCGGGATATCAAAGGTATGAATTATATACATCGATGGAAAGGTGGGAATTCCCCCGTTACACTAGTTAAGGTGTTAAAATGTTAGAAATAAAGAGCACGGAGAAAAAACCTCCTTGACCTCGCTTTTTCTAATTTTATTGAAAAATGGACGACTTCGTCTGAAAAAGTAATTGCACAATCGAAAATTAGACCTTCTTAGCTTTCAAATGATGTATCATAGAAACCAATCGGATCATGTATAAATATTTAATTGATGGTTGTTCACAAAATTTCCCCGCGCTCCAAAAACAGCAAAAAAATAAACAAAGATTAAATGAGAATTTAAAACAATTAGGGTATACAAATTTCAGGGATGACAAAGGACCTTATGAGGACCCATAATCAAGAAAGCTTTGAGTAAATTATTGCAATACAAAAAAAAAAAATAGGAACAAATTCCTGGCGAGGTCAAAATTGACCGGGAGCAGAAAGTTTGACCCATGTTCCGATATGGCCAAAAGAGTCAAGCGTGACTCAATTCACAGGGTATGATAGCAGCAGAATTCCTCTTTCACATGAACTTTGAATCATGAGAAAATATGCATTTTTAACAAAGTTATTGAATAATTTGTCTCCCCGCCGATGTGTAAATACACGGACTGTGCTCTCCGGCATACAACACAGAAGCTCATTATTCGAGGTGCGCTCCGTGCTGTTTTTCTCGAAACCGGGCAAATTTTCGAGAAAAATGATAAGGACCATTTTTGTAGAGAATTAACTGAACTTCAATTTTTATTTGAACCGAAAATTTCTTACTGCCATATTTTAGGAGATATTGGCTGAAAACCTATTTTTCTGGTCTTTTGGGGCCATTTTCTCCGCAATCGCACGCGTTTTCCAGTCAAACTTTGTCTCATGTTTAATGAGGTACCAAAAGCTACTTCCAACCGGAAGATGAAAATAGTGCGTAATTAACGTTAACTTTTTCCCTTTATTTATTGGACTATTCTTATGATCGAATTGTGCACGCAGAGGACAGCCCCAAGATCGAAAACCCGCCGCCGATACCGCCTAAATCCTGCGCCTCCTCCCTCAATTCCAGTCTGGATCTGGGAGGGAGTCTAGAAAGGCCGAAACGTCGAGATGCCGCCGAGGCCGTCACGCCGCCGGAGAACTATTCTCTACCGAAACCGCACAAAGAAAACGGCACCACTGCGGAAAAGGATCGGGAATCTTAAAAAATGGGAAAGAGGCGAGTTTTTGGTTTTTTTCTGTTGATAAACATACAAGGTGTATCTGAAACCGAAAAAATCAAATGACTAATTTCTATATTTCTATATTTTGCGCATTTTTTACATTCTTGCAAATTTAGATATGGAAGAACAGTTGAAATCATGGCCCAATAACAATAATTATGTTGAATACGATTCTGTAATTCAATTTTGCGGGTTATCAGTGGAGACCTCTGGGAAGATATACAGGGTGTTTTTCATGTTGGATATTTCCTTTTTATAAGGCATACACCTCGATGAATGAGCAATATTTTTGAAAAATTTGTTCAAAAAGACAACCCTTACCTGGAAAACACCCCGAACAGAGTTTTACAATTATTATTCAAAGGACAATTGAATGAATTTTCAATGAATCCTTTGAGGCATTGGGATTTCAGATAAAAATTATTTATTTCTCTCTGATATTTTGGGAAATCCTTCGTTAGTGATCATCAATTTTTTTATTCAAATTTTATTATTCCATTCCCTTCAAGATATTCCAATATTGTGTCATAAAGTATAAAAACATATTTTGTAATTCTATTTTCCTATTAATCAGTTATGATAACAATTAAAGTAGCTATAGTTGTATAGGAAGAGGTTTGATCTCTTATGAAATTAAGATTGTGCCAATTTTCTAGTAGAAAAAAAAAACGGAAATGTTTAGTCACTTTCGGCACAAGTAATTACAGTAGTGTAAAGTTGAAAAAACTTCTTAGAGCTAGACATTATTAGTGAATGTCTAATTTTCGTAGGTCAAGTTTATGGACCAAAGAGAGATTTATCATGCCAAATGAATAAACAATTACTACTGAGAGAAAAGCCACATATTTTTGCAATCATTTGCCATAGACTAACAGTACATCGAAAAGTTTTTCGTCTGTATAATAATGGTGCTAATTTTTTTCATGTTCTTAGGAACATGTGACACAGGAGACATGCAACAGACAACTCTAATTCAATTCTTTCCATCACTGAGATAAAACTTTGGCGCTTTTTACAACCATACATGATTATTTCAGTCACCCTCATTTTGTTATTTCAAATAGCACCCTGTATATTCGTTTTGAAATTTTTTCATTCAAACATGTAATACAAGGTGTTATTGACTTTGTTTTTAGATCGACATATGAATGGTTTTTTGTTGGGAAAGAGCATCAATATGCCAGTATTATTATGAAAACTGAAATAGGAACTCTTTTTTTTTTCTGATTAGGGTCCCTTGATGGAAATTGACGTTAAAGTCATCTTAACAGGGTACGGACAGATCCTCGTCTCCTCTCACTCTAAAGTGTTTGTGAAACAGTTATATAGTTCCATCCTTATTCAATTCTGGGGATAAACACTAGATTTTTGACATTCGTTGTTTTTTAGGTTATATTGAGGTCACTGGCGTATCATAACGTAATTTCCATATAGAAATTCTGATTCAACTATACCAAGATATAGATGAATAACAATCCTCTAGTTTTAGAGTTTACTATTACTAGGTAGGGAACAGATAAATTGTACTGAGAGCTTAATATATTTCACCAAAAGAGACTGTTCTTAGACTATATACCAGGGTTGACTGAATTGACTGAATGAATTCTGATTTCAAGCTGAGCAGAAGATTATATATGAGCCGAATGAGGTGAGCCTTATGATTGAGAAATGGTGGAAACCTCGATGTGGTATCTGAACTACTGTACTCATGTCATGTGTGCTAAATATATTTTCGGGAATCCAATTCGGAGAAGAATTCATGGAGTGACTAATATCACACTATGTATAAAACTTCGTCTGGGACGGAAAGTGGGCTGATACTGAACTTTGACCACGAACACCCTCAGATACCAATCTTAAATAGAATCAGATCATGATTAGAAATTTCTTTCGCTATATATTGAATCCGTCATCTGGAATTTTTCAAGTTTGACGAAACAATTATCATCTCCAACCCCGGAAAACCCCAGAAACTTTCCGGTTCTGAATAGAATCGGATAATAATCACAAAACTCGTTTCCGTTTATGATCTTCCTCAACAAGTAAATACCCTGTACATACCTATTATTAACATTTCTAATGATTATCTGTAGCGCCCATGGATGTGACGTCACAGCAATGTCAGGGATGCCAGTAGACAAAACTAAAGTCTCTAGATCAATAAAAAAGAATGCATCTATGATCTGTCCGTACCCTGTTGAGATGACTTTAACGTCAATTTCCATCAAGGGACCCTATTTCTAATAATTTTGAATAAACTGATAATTCTTGGATTTCATAGCATAGCTATAAGCATCGACAGAGTATCGAATTCGAGTTTTAGTCAGGTAAATTTATGCAGCAACATTTAACAATTGTGACGTAACATTTATCAATTAACAATTATCAATCAACAAGTGGTGAGAATATTGACATTTATGCAAATCAAATTAACAATTAATGGATGGATAGTACGCAAGCGCACATGCCCTAAATCTGGACTATCAAAGCAATAACCTTACAAATTCGTTGTTTACAATTTCCATAAAGAGCTAAAATTTCGAAGTTCATAATGTTTTCTGATCTGGAAGAGACTGGGTTACTTTTATTCACAATTATTCTGTTGATTGCAATTGTTTCATGTTAAAACAAATTTCCTAACATCTGTCAGATATCAGGTCTGACATTGGTCTGACCAATCCAATCTGACCTCCATTGAAAACAGGAAGTTCAACTTTTAATTGCTATTTGTTGAATGATAAATGTTACTTGATAATTGTTAAATGATGCTGCATAAATCCACTTTTCAGTCATCTCGAAGTTTTTTTTTATAAAATGCAATTCAATTGTCAACCGAGAAACAAATGACAAATTGTGGTTCATGGTCAAATGCAGAATATTTAAACGAAATTAGAATTTGGGAATATCAAAATTGTATCTCAATGAATGATAAAATTACAGGTTGTCGCTTGTCTCTTATGTCACCCCAGTATACTATTCTCTAGATTTTATTTGTTGAGTATAATATTCAATTGCACTGCTCAATTATTTACTTTGAAAACACCACCAAAATGTGAATAAGGGAGCAATTACCTCTAAAAATCAGTTTTTGCGAATATTTAGGTTTTTGCTATACTTGTTTGCATAACCTCCAGTGTATATAAACTGCGATAAACTTATCTGCACACCCTCATATCTTCATTGTTTTTGTTGATTTTCTGATGGATGGAACTAAAATGAACATCTTTCATAGGGCATTACTTTGATATCTGTCATTTGTCATTCCACGATTGTGTTGAACTTTTGCTGCTTAGGCAGCTTATTGTGTGATTGTCATTCATACCCCAAAAATGTTTTTTTTACGTTGACCTTCCATGCGTCAAAACACAATGTTGAAGTTTGATATTTCCTTTGACAGAAAATCAAAAGAAAATTCCGTTAATGACAGTAGTGACAGCTGCGATTGTTGTCTTGTAGCTTGTAATGTTTTAAAAAAAGTATACTCTTTCAAATGGCACTATGGCAACACCTTACATAGCTTGATATCTGTCATTTGTCATTCGATGAGTGTGTTGAATTTTTGCTGATTAGGCAGCTTATTGTGTGATTGTCATTAATGTCAAGTTATACAGGTAATTTTTTATTCATACCCTATACATTTTTTTTTTTTACGTCGACCTTCCATGCGTCAAAACACAATGTTGGAGTTTGATATTTCCTTCGACAGAAAATGAAAAGAAAATTCGTCTTGTAACTTGTAATGTTTAAAAAAAGTAAACTCTTGTAAGACCATCTTCAGATGGCACCATGGCAGCACCTTACATAGCTTGATATCTGTCATTTGTCATTCGACGATTGTGTTGAATATCTGCTGGTTAGGCAGCTAATGGGTTGCCTGCAAGAACTGCCAGATAACCGACCCTGGAGGTGAAACAGTGAAACACAACCTCACTTTTCTTATTTGTTTACAAATAATTTAAATAGTTTTTCACAATTACTTTGGCATATGAATCGTGTTTTTCGGCTATTCATCAATTCGCGCATGCCATCACATTGTGCTGTTGTACAATGCACAAAAAATGCAGCAGGAGACGAAGGAATCCGGTTGGTACATTATGATTCATAAGTAAGTACCTAGTATAGTCACTTACATATAGTTTTCATTTTGAAATTTGGTAATTTCTCTGATTTCTCATCGGAATTCCTTCTGCAATAGGAGCTTATAGAAATACTCGTGAAATTTCTAAAAGAATGCAAGAAAATTGGATTCATTCAATCAAACGGGAGGACTGGTCTGACATGCTGACGAAGTATGATTGTGTGTGTTGTAGACATTTTCAATTTATTAGCAGTATAACATTCCATTGCAGAAGTGGCAGAAGGAATTTTAATGAAAAATCATATTCCTTCGCCTCTCGCTGCATTTTTTGTGCATTGTACAACAGCACAATGCGAAGGCATGCTTAAATGGATGAATAGCGCAGAAAACACGATTCATATGCCGAAATATTGTGAAAAACTATTTCAATCTTTGATTAGTCTGTAAACGAATAAAAAAAGTGAAGTTGTGTTTCAATGTTTCATAGAAAAGTGAGGTTGTGTTTCAATATTTTACCTCCAGGGTCGGTCATCGTGCACGCGACCTATTGTGTGATTGTCATTAATGTCAAGTTATACAGGTAATTTTTTAACCATACCCCATAAATGTTTTTTTTTCGTCGACCTCGTATCAACGAGTAAGTTTTATGTTTATGAAATCGTTCATTAATGACCCCTATTAATGATCAATTTGTCTATTAATGCACGATTGTTTTATAGACAACCAAACATACACCGCGTGCATTCATTGTTTATGCTATAACTTACGGAATCTGCATTTAAAACGAAAATATGGATTTTATCGAAGATTTTCTGTTAAGGGGTTCGCCTTTCCAAGTTTCTGTAACGATTTAAATCCCTATTTTCTAACACAAAGAATTTATTTTATATGTTGATCATTTCGACAAATGTCAAATGTCACTACTAATGTCAGTAACAAGGCTACTGGGTGATTCTTAGTAGTTTCCGGATGAATGATGAATTCGCGAACCAAGTTTTCTTCACTGCAGGAGAAATGAGAAATATAGTCGACGGAAAAATTTTGTAACCAACTCGTATATCAAAAGTAGATTGATGATCTCGAATATTAACGCGCTCGCTTCGCTCGACGTTAAAATATCTCGATGATTAATCGCCCTCATTGATACACTAGTTGGTTGAATAACTATTAACGTTGACCTTCCATGCGTTAAATCGCCCAACTATTACATTACATCGGAGAGGAAGGGTTTGTCATCTATAATTCGTTCACCTTTGCAGTTGGAGAAGATACGAAATTGAATGAAATATTGAAAAAGTTCGACGATTATTTTTTGCCGAAAAAAAACTTGTCGTACGAGCGCTTCAAGTTCTTCACACGTAAACAAATGCCTGGAGAAAGTATCGAACAGTTCGTGATAGATTTGAAAAATAAATCAACAAACTGTGAGTTTGGCAATTTGAAAGAAAGCCTAGTGAAGGACTTATTTACATGCGGGCTTCAAGACGTGTCTTTACGTGAGAAATTGTTGCAAGATGATGACCTCACATTAGATGAAGCAGTGAAGAAATGTATTTCGGTAGAGATGTCACGTGAACAATCATCACAAATGAGCTTGACTGCTACTACACTACCTGTCAATGCTGTTCACAAAGGATTCCAGAGTCCCAGAAGTAATGTACCATCAAAATACAGTGATTTCCGGGACACAAATTTCGGCAGAGGTCGTTATGGGCCTGTGTCTTTCCAGCCTGACTCTCAAAATCAACATAATGTATATCAACAAAATACATTTCAACAGAATGCAGTTCAACAAAGAAGTAGGAGTTCATCGTGCTATCGCTGTGGAAAATCTCATCCTAGGAATAACTGTCCAGCAATGGGTAAAAGATGTCTGCACTGTGGTATTGCAAATCATTTTTCAAGTGTGTGTAATAATAAAAAAGTGTATACTGTGTCATACAGTGAAGTGGAACAAGGAGATGATGAAAATGTAGAAAATCTTTCGAATTTATTGGTAATAGATGAAATCCAGATCAATGTGCTAGATAAACAGAGTTGGTATGTAAATCTGTTGATAAATGGTGAGTTTCACATTGATTTCAAACTCGATACAGGAGCGATGGCCAACTGTTTGTCAGTTGACGATTTTCAAATGTTGAAGATATCTGAAGAGAACTTGAACAAAACTGATATGAAACTTACGTCATATACAAATAATGTGGTGCCAGTCCTCGGAAAATGTTACCTAAATTGTTCCTACAAAAATAGTAACTATTGTTTAGAATTTTATGTTGTAAAATCAAAATCAAAATCTCTTCTTGGACTTGATTCATGCAAAAGCCTGAATTTGATCAAGAAAGTAGATTCGATAGACAGACCATCATCAAGAGAAAATTTAGATTTTGGGGAATATAATAAACTTTTAGAGCCATATGTAAGGTTGTTTGAAGGAATTGGTTGTTTATCTCAGAAGTATCACATATTGTTGAAAGAAAATCATAGACCAGTTGTAAATCCAACTAGAAAAGTACCTTTACCATTGCTACCACAATTGAAAAGTACATTGAAAGAATTAGAAGAAAAAAAAATTATAAAAAAAATTGATGAGCCTACTAATTGGGTAAACTCCTTAGTTATTGTAAAAAAAGCTGATAACTCCTTAAGATTGTGTTTGGACCCGACTCACTTGAATACCGCCATAAAAAGGGAATATTTCGTATTGCCAACCTTAGATGAAATCACTGCAAAACTTGCAGGTGCAAGATATTTTAGCACTCTTGATGCAAATAGTGGATTTTGGCAGATAGCTTTGGACGAGGAAAGTTCGAAGTTATGTACATTTTCAACTCCATTTGGGAGATTCTGTTTTCTCAGACTCCCCTATGGCATTTCATCTGCTCCTGAGGTTTTCCACAAACGGTTTAAAAATATTTTCGAATCAGAAGGGGTGGATTTGTACATTGACGATATAATTGTATGGGGAGAAACTAAGGAAATTCATGATAAGAGATTATTGTCAGTACTACAAAAGGCAAAAACTAATAATATAACTTTCAATCGGAATAAATGTAAATTTGGATTATCAGAAATCAAATATATGGGCCACAAGTTGACAAGAAATGGAATTTCACCAGATGAAAAAAAAATCAGTGCAATAAAAAACATGACCATTCCAAAAGACAAAACAGAAACACAAAGGTTTTTAGGCATGATAAATTATGTAGGTCGTTTCTTGCCAAATTTGTCTATTTTAAATTCACCATTGAGAAATTTGTTAAAAAAAGATAGTGAATTCATATGGGATGAAAATCACACAAGGGCATTCAATGAACTCAAGGACAAACTAACACAACAACCAATTCTTCAATATTTTGACGTAAATAAGCCCACAACAATATCAGTTGATGCATCTAAAGATGGGTTAGGGGCAGTTTTATTGCAAAATAATCTTCCCTGTGCATATGCATCTAAAAGTTTATCAGAAAACCAACTAAACTGGGCACAAATTGAAAAAGAGCTAGCAGCTGTTGTTTTTGGCTGTGAAAAATTCTCACAATATGTTTATGGCAAAGAGTTTGTTGTTGAAACAGATCACAGACCATTGATATACATATTTAAAAAACCATTAGCTTCATGCCCTGCACG